TACATGCCTCATATGAATCGGCATCAGCATTCTGATCTGACAAGTGGACCGCTCCTTTCCCACTCATTACCCATTATGTTCCTGAAAACCTTATCCCACCAGTCAGTAGAATTGTATGTGTATTGGATTGGATGGACAATTAGGGAGGGACCTTTAGGGCACAGGTTGTGTTTACTGGTCTGATTTTCTCAGTAATCTTGTTATCCAATAAATTTTGCTGGATTGGCTGAGCTGTCACTCATATGATTTCAGAAGAAATGCAGGAAATTAAAAAGGGGTCCAGAGAACATGGCTGCTTGGCACCACTGGTCTTGTGTTTCCTGCCATGAGCCCCTCTTTGCCAATCATTTGGAGACCTACTAATCTGCATAATCCTGGGTTTGCATCCTGTGGTGCACCCCTAGTGGCACAAGTTAGATGGGAACCATTTTCTTTTGCAGTAGAATTACTGACCAAAATCGTATTACTTATCATAGTAAATTTCATTTAAAAGGTTCCCATTTAATTGCAATAGTTACCCATTTGAATTGCTATAAATCATAATACTGTTTGCTTTTGAAATAACTGGAGCCGAAACAGGATTTTAAAACTATTTGTCCAAATATACTGTAATATTTATAATCCTATTGGTAATACAGTATTTATAATCCTAACAGTTCCTTGGTCATTGGAACAAATAGGGGGTATTTTATTTTGTAATTATAAACACTTAAATATGAGCTGCTTTTTAAAAAAACAGCACAAAGTCTGCTGGTTTGATATGTGAAAATCTCACTAACATTAAGAAATTCAAAGAGCTGTACATATTTATGCAATTTTGAGAAAACAGTATCCTGCATTCTAAAGTAGTTTACTGCATCAAAATACTGTACATCCAGCAAAGTTTCCTCTAATAATCCAGATTACAGAGTGTGGTAAATGAATTTAAACTACTTAAAATCATAATTTTCTGTGAAAAGATTACCCTATTTTTCGCACTATAAGATGCACTTTTCCCCACAAAACGGGGTGGAAAGTCTGTGCATCTTATGGAGCGAAGAAAACAGATTATTTTTCCTGTTTTCTTCTCCTAAAAATTTGGTGCGTCTTATGGAGAGGTACGTCTTATGGAGCGAAAAATACGGTAATTGTTTTAACTAGCAACCCCAAATTGTAATAATTTATTTGAGAAATTTAAAAACAAACCTGCAATCTGAGCAACATAACATAACTGAAAGACAGACTTTACAAAATGAAGAGTTAGCTTTATAGAAAGAACTGCAAAGCCTTCTGAACATTGGCCCTTGGCAATCCAGAATCATTCTTCAGGTCTGTAGAGATAAAGGCTACGCAGTGATATAACTTCTGAAGGTATTGCTGTAGTACAAAGGTGTTTCCAGATTGAATGGCCAGAAGCTACAAACTCTAGATGCCCTGCTTCCTGGATGAAAGGGAATACTGTTCAGTGCTGTGCAGTAGGAAAAGGTTGTGGACTGGACCTTAATAATCAATACCTAAAAGTCTTTGCTTATAGTATAGAATATGCCATAACTAATATATATCCTTTTATTTGACTGTATTTTTTCTGTAGCTCTGCTTATTGTACTCCAGGTTGTTATTTGTCAGAAGCTAAACAGGGTCTCTTACCTGTTCAGTACTTAAGATGAGTGAACTTCAAAGAACATCAGTTGTGTCCGTAAGTGATGTTGATGGCTCAGTATGGGGTATTCTTTCCCTCAACTCAGCCTCAACCAATGTATTGGTATAGCATTGACAAACAGTATCCTGGATGTGCATCTCAAAGGTCCTTTCTACTCTGAGGATATTAAAGCTCCTGCAATACACCCAGAAGCTCTTCACCTCCTGGGTACTGAATAACCTGATAATTTTATATGTAAATATAAAAATGTTTTAAAATGGTGGTTAACTAATACCATGTGAATTTTAAGGAAGAATTTGGAAAGTGTTTAAATTCTTCCTCTCTCCAGATCCATAATAAACAATGCATAATGTGTTGGCTGAAAACAGTTGCCAGCAACTCCTTAAGGAAAATGCACCTTGATGACTGAGTTTGAATTCTGCAGGGCATGTAAAATGCTTTGAAATCCTGTGCAGATGAAAGGTGCCAAGTGAATGTAAATTAAGTCATCCAGCTATCCATTTCATTCATTTAAAACTATGTTTTTATTTTATTTTATTTTTATGGAGTGTTGCAGTTTCATGACATTTATGTTAGCCTTACAAAAGCAAAAAGGAGATATGTAACAGTAGTTAACATTAGCAAAAAATATATGAATGCTGTTAAAGACAGGATGCCATTTTTAAAGCCAAAAAGGAGATATGTAACAGTAGTTAACATTAGCAAAAAAATATATGAATGCTGTTAAAGACAAGATGCCATTTTTAAAGCCAGAGGTTAAAAAACAAGCAGCTTGTTTTAGGAGTTGCTAATGCAGCTCCATATGAATGAGTTCACCAAAGTGGAAGAACTAGTAAATTGCCATTAATTGTCCCTGTTATGAATAAATTGCCACTAAGGATTATTCTTTTTAAGGTCCAATGGCACTGGCTTGTTTCACATGTCTCGATCTGATAAACAGTGATGTCAAAGTCCCAAGAAAGAGCGAAGTGCCTATATGTTCCTTCCTTGCCTTTCTCCATGGCTGCAGTTGGTGTGACGTTGTGGCTTATTTAAGCCATAGTTCCCTATGGGGAAGATGGTGACTGAATCTCCGTTTACTCCGTTGGCTGTTTTGTGTAAACCAGAACTTTCTGTTTGCTGCTTAGAATGTGAAGAATGAGATTGCTTCATTAATCCTACTCAGGACAAACCAGAGCTGGAATCCATATCTTACAAGCTGTTCATCGATTTGTCTCTGAAATATGGTTCATCCAGTGCTTGGAGTTTCCACTTGGCCATTCCACCACATCATGGGTGCACAATACCAGTCAGACAATGGCAGTGGCTAATAAGTGTCAGAATAGTTGAGTCTTTTGCATTTAGCTCCTGATTTTGGAATGTGTTCCAACACCCCTACACCCACTGCAGTACTTCATTTTGAAACAGACTCAAGTGTTGGTACTTTAGGAGGTTTCATATGCAGTCATGTATTAGTGACTGATGTCTGTAAATGTGTTTTCAAGTAATTGTGCACATACAAGTAAAATGCAAATATTAATTTGGAGTATCATATTTGTAGTTTTAATTCCCTCCATGTTTACATGGAAGTAAGTCTATCAGTTGTACTTGCTCGCAAATAAGTGTGGATGGGATTGTAGCTCTGAATATCAATAGAGAAGGTTGCCAGGTCAGCAACATCATATTTCTTGAGATTTCAGGGTCAAAATCTGAGATCAGGGTACAAGCCCTTGTGAAATCATGAGAGCATGAACAATGAAGTGAAAAGTTGGGAAAGGGGGCCAGAACTGCTTCTGGACCAGCTAATTGTGGAAAGGGGCAAGAGGGGAGTCGAGCAAGTGGACCTAGAATCTAGGCAGCTGCAATGGTCACCATACTTTCTGCTAAGGTTCATATTCCATATGGCCTTACATGCAACACAAATGATACTTGTGGAGTTGTTCCAGGCCCTGTGCCATTGCCAGCTCACAGGGACTCTTCTCCCCAGGTTCTGTGCCACTGCTTTCAGTGCCTTTTCAACAAGAAGGCTCATTTGATAGCAGCACTTTATTCCTGCCTTCATACAGTAGAGTAGTCCAAGTGCATGTAACTGTTACTGTTTCCCTAGTTCCCTCCCTGACATTTTGTCATGTCATCATTCCTAAGTGCAAGCACCTGTGCACTGAGCCAGTGAATCCCAAAACCAGGTGTGGGGATGGACACCCATACTTTAAAACCACCTAACTCACCCACAAATCAGATGTTATGTCCCACAGCAACATTAATCCTGGCATTATTAAACTGCTGGTCTATCGGGGTTTTTGTAGCAATTCACTGAGGCTTCAGCCAGCACACTGAGACCTGGCAACCTGACCCTTCAAGCTAAATTCAGAGCCTTACTTCCATAGGACAGGCAAATCTTGCTAATCCCTGCAAGTTCCTTATGCCTTCAAAAAAATCAGATTCTTTGAGCATGTACGTGGCTAGAGGGGAAAGGCGGATTGGCAAAAGTAGCTTCTCCTATACCAGTATTTTTTTTCTGCTGGAACAAGCCTCTGCAGATGGAAGGAGCCCTTCTAATCACATGATATCAAGTCCCAATCAAACCTTTGTGTGTATTTTTAAAAGCCATCCTGGTATTGGTTAGTGTTGAACTAGGATGGGAGGAGTCTGGCAGATTCAGATCTCCACTCATGAGCTAATCGCTATCTCTCAGCCTAACCTACCTCACGGGATTGTTGTGAGGATGAAATGGGAAGGATGATTGATCATACATGACGTATAGTCATCCTCTGGCCACCTGTAGCTTTTTGGAGAAATGTCAAGATATAAATACTGTATAGCACTAAATAAATACATGTACAATTTGCTGACTAATTCTTGAAATGACTACATATGTATTTTGAAAACATATAGAAGTATAATCAGAATGTTATTTGCTCAAAGTAGTATCGCAGCAGTTAGATTATGCTTTGCATGATTACTGTGTGCAGCTATTTAGACCAGACAAATCCTTATACTTCTTAAATAGAAGGCAGTGACTAGGAAATAAGTTGTGATTTCACTAATCTGTGTGCTACAAGTTAAGTAGAGTTTGGTGTCCTTCAAAATCTTTTTCTTCTGTTAGTATCTCCTTTTCTATTGTCAGTTTCTGCTTGCTTTGTAACTAACATTCTCTTTGCCTTATTTGTGTAACTTCTAGTGCAAAATGCATTATTTGTTTGTTGCTGTGATGTCCTGCTTTTACAGTGTAAGTATGGCCATATACATGTATTCATGTCTTTGTACAATTTTTGATCATAATCCATCGTTTGTAACTATTTATATACAAATATTTTAAAATATTTTGTGTCAAGGGGCTATAAAAAACCTTTTTCCATTTTGTTATTTTTTTGTCCCACAGAAAAGTCATTGTCTTCGTATCATGGCAGAGCTCTTGAAGGTAATGATGACCATAGCATGTGGTCAGAAGTCACAGATGAAGGCTTGGAACTCACCCAGTACCTTGGAGTGGAAATAGACTCAAAAAATGAAGAGATAGTTCTAAATATCAGCTCACGACTTCAAGCAGCTGTTGAAAAACTCCTGGAAACCATCAATGAAACCACTAATCAGGTAAAATTCCTTTCTTATATTCTTGGTAGGATATATGAGAGGAGATGTGTCTGTTGAGTGCCCAGAAAATCATCTCTTGATCTCTAAGGTGGAATACAGTTGAGTACTTAGTTTAATGAATCAGAGCGCCTGGGTTGATTCCTCACTGTGCCTTGTAGCAGAAGGAGGTGCACTTTGTGGCTTTGGGCTAGCCATCATATGACCCCACAGTATCACCTGAAGAAGGGAATGGTAAACCATTTCTGAGTACTGTAATAACAAGGAAATCCCAGAACTGGTCACTTAAGGTAGGCATTAGCTTAATTGTGCATAATTATTACAAAGGCGGCATAGCCCCCTTTGTGGATTTTTTAAATTTTTATTTTATGGTCAGTGGGTTGAATTGCAGTAGGAGACTACTATAGTTGTACTTCTGGAAATTATTACTGGCTGTGGGAATTGAGAAACAGTTGTATTAATTTCTACATGTACTGTGAAAATCCTTTCTCATTAGTTGGGGAGGTTCTGAGAGTGGTTTCTTGTGCAGTTGTAACACTACCAGTCTTGTAACTATTGTTAAAGAGAGTGGGAACTAGCAAGGGGAAGGAGGGAAATTGATAATGCAGAGGGAGTGTATGAGCCTTTGGTTCATTCTTGAACTTTTAGTCTCTGATACCAGCAAAATTAATATCTGTATTCACAGATACTGAACTTTGATTTACTTTGTGTAGAACTTTAATTGGTTTGATATTGCAAATATGCTTGTATATACAGAGATGTTACAGTTATAAAGACTGTGACTGAAATCCTGTTGCTGAGAGTAGTAGACTGCACTAGAATAGGCTCATTGATTCAGTGGATATTTGGGGAATCAACTCCTCCATAAGCTCAGTTGATTTCTATGGGCCTACTCTAGTTGTGACTTGCTCTAGTATAAGTCACAACTAGAGTAAACCCAGTTGAATCGATGGACCTTACTGAGGAGTTGACTTATGAAATCCCCAGTGAGTTAATGGTTTTTTTCTAGTACGACTTACTAGACTGAGTTACTAGTATGACTTAGCAACAGGATTTCAGCGAATATTTATTAAGGAAGCGATGTGTCATCAAAGTAAAGTAGTGAACAACATTTCAGCAGTCAGTTCTGTTGTAGCTTTTCAGTAGATTTTTTTAGCATGGGGTTTTTGTTGTTAAAATGTTAATGAGAAAAAAGGCAGATAAGGTATGATTATTAGAGTCTTCTCTCTCTCTGTGTGTGTGTGTGTGTGTGTGTGTGTGTGTGTATGTATGTGTATATTGTATATTTGCATATTTGTTTGTGTGTCAGTAAGCTGTCTCGATAGCTCAGTAGGTTAGGTATCTGGCTGTGGATACAGAAGTTGGAAGTTCAGTTTCCCACTGTGTGCATCACAGAAAGCCAGCCTGTGTAGCCTTTGGCAAGCTGTACAGAGTCAGGGCGCCTCCAGAAGAAGGGGATAGTAAACCACTTCTGAGTATTCTCTACCTGGAAAACCCTGAAAGGGGTTGCCATAAGTCAGATTTTATTTGACAGCTTGTTGTTGTTGTGTGTCAGCATTATTTATTTGAGTTTTGTGCATATATCTTAGAGTAGTGGGCATTGGCCTGTCTAAAAAAAACCTAGGTACTGTATAGCCCTAAAGTCTCTTGCTTTATTAAGGTAAAGGTAAAGGTTCCTCTTGACATTTAGTTCAGTCGTGTCCGACGCTAGGGGGCGGTGCTCATCCCCGTTTCCAAGCCGTAGAGCCAGCGTTTGTCTGAAGACAGTTTCCGTGGTCATGTGGCCAGTGCGACTAGACACAGAACGCCATTACCTTCCCACTGTGGTGGTACCTATTTATCTGCTCGCATTTTTACATGCTTTCAAACCTGCTAGGTTGGCAGGAGCTGGGAAAAGCGAAGGGAGTTCACTCCCGTCGCGTGGATTCGATCTTACGACCGCTGGTCTTCCAACCTTGCAGCACAGAGGCTTCTGCGGTTTAACCCATAGCACCACCATGTCCCTCAGTCCCTTGCTTTATTACATTTATTAATTTGCCGCTGCCATTTCCTCTCCTAGTGATAACATGACTCTATTGCTGTTATGTGCCATCAAGTTGCCTCCAACTTATGGCAACCTTATGAATTAGTGACCTTCAAAATGTCCTGTCCTCAACAGCCCTGCTCTGCTTCTGCAAACCCTGAGGCTGTGGGCTCCTTTCTAGAGTCAATCAATCTCATATTTAATCTTTTTTTCCTGCCACCTTGAACTTTCCCAACATCATTGTCTTTTCCAGTGAATCTTCACTTCTCATGATGTGCCCAAAGTATGACAACCTCAGTTTCATCATTTTGTCTCCAGATGTAGTTCAGGCTATATTTCCTCTAGGAGCCACTTATTTTTCAGGAATTGTCTCTTTTTTCCCAGCTTTTTAAAAATTTTATATGATATTGGAAGGTTCTTCAGTAAAGCTTAAATACATTTAGGATAGTGGCATTAATTGTTTAAGTTGTGTTTATTTGGTATGTTTAGGAATCACACTTCCATCTAATACATTGGTTGAGGCAGTTATGCTAAAATAAAAGCTACAGTAATACTCAGATCGTCATATAATTACACGAGCAGAAAATCTGTAACACTACAAATGTAATATAGTGGCATTAAGGAACATTAACAGCTTGACTGAACTGAATTGTCTTCCATACACACCTGAAGCACTCTCAATAACGTGTCAGTCTAGCGTGCTGAAGAGGGAATTATACATTTATAATTTGCTTGTCATTTCCTGGTTGCCCTGACTTTATTCCTGCCTTCTTCGGGAGTCTGCATATTGCTTGTTCATTCAGCTTGAACTCTAATCTCATAGGTTACCGTGAAGGGCCCATTGTTTGTCTAGGGGAAACGTAGTGCAACAGACACTGCCTGGTGGCATAACATGAGGAAATAATTCAGATTCCTGCAGTTCTATACCATGCTATCAATATGCTAAATATGGAGTAATGTTTGTATATTGTTCAGTGTTACTGATGGATGGCACTTGATTTTTCTGGTAATATGACTAGTAAATTACAGGGTTCAGTGTGTCTTACATCAAAATATTGTTTCACTAAATATGTTTCAGTCTGTCCATCCAATTGGGAAGTTGTTTGTTTCCCCATTCCAGTACTTTGTTAGAAAGATGGTCACACTTGCAAGTTAGAAAGATGGTATAAATAAATGTACTAATTTTCATTCAGTGTTTTAGGATAGATAATTACTTCTCTATACCAAAAACAGTGACTAGGTCAGTTTTTATTTAGATACATAGCAGAATATTTGGAGACAGCAATAAATTTTATTTAAGTATGCTGTATTTTTTATTTCTACAAATGTAATGCCAATGATGTAACTACTGTATAGCAGTTGCCTGTCACTTGGTGTCTGATAGGTGATGTCTACACCAGGGGTGTCCAACCTTTCACCTTCCCTGGGCCACATTAGAAGATGAAAATTTGATTTGGGCCACACATACATTTGGTTTGGGCCGCATGGGGGGGCAGCCCTAGCCGTCTTCCGCAGCCCTGCTCCAAGCACGCTTACTGGCAGTTGCGATCTCAGCAGAGGCTGCCAGCTTCAACTCTGGCGGCTTTATGGGGCCGGGAGGGGGTCCACCTATTGACGGGGACGGCGCAATGCAGTCACGCACCCCCCCACCCCCCCCCTTCCCCCCCCTCCCTTCCCCCTTCCCCCCCTCTACATAGCAGAATGTTTGGAGACAGCAATAAATTTTAAGTATGCTGTATTTTGTATTTCTACAAATTTTATGCCAATGATGCAACTTTACTGTATAGCAATTGCCTGTCACTTGGTGTCTGATAGGTAATGTCTACACTGAGTTCTTAACTTGTGGCATTTCGCCAGGAAATTATTTTAATACTGATCGCGGGTTGGACAAGCCTGGTCTACACTGAGTTCTTAACTTGTGCCATTTCGCCAGGAAATTATTTTAATACTGAATGCTTCAAAATGATGTTGACATTATGTTACCAATCTGTTCTATACATTGCACACCAAAAATACCACTGTTCAAAGGGGAAAGAACTCTTCCCCTCTTTTAAAAGCAGCAGGTGAGGGATCAGTGCTTGAATACAGAATTATGCTTCAAACCTCCCTATCAAGTTTAATACTGATAGCTCAGAATCTCAAGGGATGTATTGTGCTGTGACCAAGAAGCAAAGAATGCCAAGTAGGCAAGTTAAATGAAATGTTTTCTGTCTCAATGAATACATCACATTAAAAATAGTTTTTTCATATCTCATAATGTCAAAATGATTACTTTCTTGATTCTTTCTGCCCTCTCTTCCTTCTCTAAAAGTTTCAACACAAATGTATATTTCTTCATTTATGCGGAGGATACATTTCCTTATTGCAGAAAGTCCAGAAACAATCTAAATTTGGTCTGCCATTAAACTCATTAACTTACATAAAGTTGTTACTAATAGAAACAGAAACCTAGCTAGGAATTTCGTAAGGCTGTAGATAGTGAGTGCCTGAGAAACTACCTTGATCCTGCCAAATGAAATTCTTCACTATATGATAGTTGAACAACATATTTTCTGATTAAAAGTGCGAGAAAGAATCTGTAAAGCTTTTTCACCCCTTCTAGAAATACAGTTTCTGATCTCTGACTTGGATTTTAAATCTTGTAGGGCAAGGTTTATTGTGGGTGTGTTAATTCAAATTCCATCTGCCTGTGTACCTGCAGTAAAGAACCACTCCCACTATCCTGACCTCTTCCTCAGCTCTAGGACACAGCCTTTTGCTTTGTATGATATCATTTTATCTGAGTTCAGAAGAGTTCTTTCTTTGACTTCATGAAAAGAATAAAGGCTGAAGAGAACTCCATTTTAGTGCGTTATTGATTTTCTTCCGTAGTGATTTTTAAATGTTAACTGTTGCTGCAATTTTGTTTTGTTTTTGTTGCTTCGTCTTGTAATGGCTCGACTACTTACTGCAGGATATACGGTCTAATAAGAAGATAATATTTCTTTCCTTCAACGAATGGCAGACTTGTGTTACCATTCATTTTTGTCTGAATTATCTTTGGGGGTTGGTGGAAAAAAGCAATAGTTCTATGAAGCTGGAAGTGCTAATCCTTTTTTCCTCTTAACTTGGTGTATACCTGGGACTGTGCTGAACTTGTGGTTGCTTATCTGAGTGTGAACTGATAGTTCCTGGATTTCTCCAACAGTCCGATTGTCAAACAAGCAGTGTACTATTTTGCTCTTTCCCATGTAATTGTTGACTATTGTAAGCAAAGCAAGACATCTGATGAAAAGGGGCAGCAATACGTTTTTCTGGAATGGATTCTTATCGTACATACTGGGCATCAAATATATTTAGTGCCTTGAAGTCAGAAAAAAGACAAGAAGAAAATAGTTTTGAAGTTGAATCTCGTGTTCCTTTGCCATATCCTTTTCCTTTCACTGGCTATTTGGATGAAAATAACTCTGTAGTTGTCAATACTTCAATTTTTCATGGTAGCCACAAGAGAAATGGACATAGGTTAAGAGTTATTTCCAAAATTTCTTTGCCTTCTCCTCCTTATTCAGTAAGTATGAAAGAACTTCAACAAACTGTTATTTTTGTGTTTCTGTATCTTTGTGTTTGTCTCTGTCTTACACAGCTATCATATACTGTAATAAGGAATGTTTTAAAATTATTTAATGCAGTTTATTAAACATTTTGCAGGAGGAGTTAGTCAAACTTGTCCAAAATTATTGTCATTAAAAAGTGGAACTGATTTCAGTGTTTTCAGTGTTATGTTCTAAAAAGACCTGGAAGTACCAAATTCCAAATAGCTATATTCCTTGAATGCTTAACATTTAAACTTCAGGCTTGACAATGATGTACCTAAATCTTACCTTATTAAACTAATGTTTAGTAATCACATTTCCTTTAATAGAAATAATTTAATAAAAATATCATTTTCAACTCTCTATATATGCTTCTTTTTGTCCTTTAGAAACAGTAAAAAAATTATTTACCAGAAGATTAAAAATACATTACAGAAGAAAGGTTAAGTGGACATTTGAGGTAGAATATACTGTATTAGTGGTTTGTAAGAGCCATACTGCTAATTTAATTTCTTTCTGTCCTGGCTTAAATGTATAGTAAAATAGAACAAAAATAATAGTCCAGGATTGTTTTCTGATAAAATACTTCAGTTATTAAATAAAATTGGCTATAGTAGGCTATTCTATATAATGTTTCTGATTAGGTGCTGACAAGTAGCTATGCTATGTGGAGTGGGGTTTTGATTCTTCACCATGCTATCATTCTTTACCTTGCTTTCATTCTACTGTTTTCGGATTTGGAGATAATTTGTTGTTTATCTGTCCTGTCTCATTCATAGATTTTTATGGTATATGCATGGATATATGTCCAGATGTTATGATTTTCTACTTGTAGCTTTCTCATATTTTTTCAAGTATTTTTTCTCTTTCTCTTTCACAAAAAGCTATATTTAGGGGTGGGGTGGGGTGAACAAAGTAACTACACATGTGCGTGTGTGTGTGTGTGTGTGTATTGGTAGTGCTAGAAACCAAATGTCTAGAAGACAGCCCCGTTCCTTTAGCATTAACTGGTTGTCCACAATAATCATTATTAAATACTGGTCGAAAGAAGCAAGTCTTTCTCAACAAATCCTTAGACTTGTTAGACTTAACAAATCCGTAAACATATGAGCTGAAATCCTATTGCTTAGCATAGTAAGTTTTTGTGCCACACTAAAGTAAGTCACAACTAGAATAGGCCCACTTGAATCAATGGAGCTTATATAGAAGTTGAATCACCAAATCCCTACTGATTCAGTGGGCCTACTCCAGTGCAATTTGCCATGCTAAAAAAGGTTTCAGCATTATGTGACTATACACAATGTACCATTAAATATGCTTATAAAAACATGGGTGTGGGTTCTTTTAATTCCTGTAGTTAAACAAATACATGTTGTCTCATTTTGTAATTTGAGTACTACATGAAATGTTAGCAACCTTTTGCTGCTCTCAGTAGTTAAACTGAAACTTTTTTACTTGTTTAACAGAGGAGAGTCGGGGGCATTCTGGATAAGCTGATGGGATTTTAAACTTCTAATAACTACATATATCTGAAAGTGTTGTTTCCCCAAGTTTCCTATGTGATTCTGACCATATATTAACATCAGCACAGCTCAGAGACCCATTCATACCAGAATAACAGAATTTTGGCACTGCAGCAGAGTGAAATACTAATCTTTTAGACTACTGTATTTCAGATAGAGGAAAGGTTTTCCAATTTTCATTTTAAAGCTCTGTAAATTATATGTAGACATTTACCAAAACTAAACAGTTGATAGAAAATGTAGATAACAATATTTAATGTTATGAAGAGTGTTTAGATCCTTTTTAAGAAGTTGACTTTAGGATTGTTTCACCATCATTGTGATTTTCTGCTTTAGAGCTTTGATCTAACTGATTTTGTTTCTTTTAGATGCATGAATATTATTCAATATACCTTGAAGTTTTTGAGCATACTAACAAAACAAATATTTTTGAAGAAGCAGAATTATTGTTTGGGTCATGAAGTCAGTTGTCTTATGTTAATCCTCTTCCATTCTAATTAGATGGAAGATGTCGTATTGTGAAGTTTATATCAAGCACTTGAAAGTTTGATCTTCACAGCCTGCCATAAATTAATGTAAACTAGGAAGTCTCAGGTTCCAGCACTTAGACACGGATATTGTCATGTGATAGTATGATTCATTATGCTATAGCGTGCAGGCATTTGCTTGTCTTATTAGCCATGCTGTGTGAGGGTAATAAAGTTCTGACCTTGAAGTTTACTGAAGTTAATGAAAAAGCCTTTTTCCAGATTATTTATTGATCCACAACATATAGACTTGGTAAAATGTACTTTAAAGATCATATATTAACCTTTTAATTTTTTTATCCCATAGCTTGAACATGCTAAAGTGACACAGACAGAGTTGATGCGGGAATCCTTTAAGCAGGAACAAGAAATTGCTGAGTTACTCAAATGTCAGGAAGAATTACAAGAACGATTCGAGGAAGAGGTTAAAGCTAGAGAGCAATTGGCTTTGGAGCTCAGCAAAGCAGAGAGTAAGTGACATATTGTCTGCTGTGTAAGACTTGAATGTACTGCAAATCCCTCGTCTTCAGTTTAGTGGTCTCTTGCATTGCTTCTCACATTTTTGGGTGGTTGTGGATGAATTATCCTTCTTTTTTCCAGCAATAGAGTAAAGCAAGTAAATACCAAAGAACATTAATTTGGACCAATAAGAAAGAAAGAAAGCTTGCTATAAAAGAGTAAAAGAAAGCAAATAGATCACAAATGAAGAAAAAATGCATGTGAATGTCTTATCCAAAGGGAGTTACAACAGTGTGAAGGAAGAAAGGAATATCAAAGGTTTCCTACAATATATCAGCTAACCTCTCCTTAACATGTAGTTCAAACTATGTAGTTTGGTTTCTTTGAAGACCGTCATTAACATTCTTTTGTTCTTCTGATGGGCAAGCAACATTTATTTGAGTATTTGATACAGAAAGCAGCTAATTAAGATTTTAATGGTTATATCCTGGCAATTTTTATATAGAACTCTTTCATCAACTTCAGTCCTTCCAATATGTGTGCAAAGGGATTTGCCACTTGGGGTTTTTGGACTCCAAGTCCCAGAATTCTCCCAACTTTTTGCTACTTCTTTTTCTAACAGGCATCTTGGTCAAAGCTTGGCCTCTCTCCAGCCATGAAGCTTTCCAGCCCAGCCTTTCTCCAGGTCTTGGTCTGGTGGAACTCCCAGAATGGAGAGTTCTGGAATTTGGAGTAAAAAGAAAATGGTACCTTCCTAACATGTAGAAATATTATTAAAAATATAAATATTTGTAAGTTAAACTTATGAAGTGGGAATTACACCCTCTATATTCATAATACCAGATTGTATATATGATTCAAAATCTGTTAAATTTGATTCATTAAGAACAGACATCCTATCAGCCATTGTAGCTGTTATATCAGTAGATACAGTCATGGCCAAAAATATTGGCACCCTTGCAATTTTGTCAGAAAATGCAACCTTTCTCTAAGAAAATTGTTGCAGTTGCAAATGTTTTGGTGCTCACATGTTCATTTCTTTGGTTTGTGTTGGAACAACACAAAAAACACAGGAAAAAAAAAGTCAAATTTGATACAATCCCACACAGTGAGTACCAAAACATTTGCAAGTGCAACAATTTTTTGAGAGAAGGGTTGCATTTTCTGACAGAATTGCCAATATTTTTGGCCATGACTCTATTGTAGGGTACGATAACATGCAGATTCCTTTCAAAAACTGTTTTCTCAGGCCTAAAATGAAAAAACTAGAAAGTAGGACATTTTAATCAGTTGCTGTTTTAGCTAGTAGATGCACATGGCCTGTGTTTTCCATTATAAACTAGCTTTCCCACTCAGGATTGAATCCATACTAATAGTACCAAACCAAACTGGGAAGCTAGGTTTTCAGAGGAACTGTAATTGTATCTAGTACAGACTGGATCTCTGTTCCTTGATCTGCCTTTTCGTGCCTAGGAGCTCTCCTGTCTTTTCATGATTCAGCTTCCGTTTGTTAATCCTTATTAGTCCATTAGCAACACCATATTTGGGTTTAGAACTAGCTTCCACAGATTCAGATGTGAAGAAGAGATGCAGTAGGATGTCATCAACATTACTATGGCACCAAATCCCAAAGCTCTGCAGAGCCAACTGTGTCATATACAGTGGTGCCTCGCATAACGATTTTAATTGGTTCCAAAAAAAAAACCACGTTATGTGAAACATCATTATGTGAAACACCATTTTCCATAGGAATGCATCGGAAACCGGTTAATCCGTTCCAATAGGCACGGATTGCCGTCCTTAAGCGAAAAAACCCATAGGAAACATCGTTAAACGATACAATGTTTCCTCCATTGGAATGTATTGAAGCCGACTCAATACATTTCAATGGCTTTGCGAAGTCAATTTTTGCAAATTTAAGTGTGTCATAAAAGGGTCAAAATGGTTTTAAATGCTTGGATTAGCTTCTGCACCCAGTTAATGGATGCAAAAGTTAATTTGGCTTTGATCTGACTTTTCGTTAATTTATGGTTAACGTTAATTTAATTTAATTTATCTTTCTTCTTTATCTATTATTTATGATTTATGTTATGTTTGTTAATTGATATTTCGAATTTATGTTGCTATAATTGTATTAATTTTGTTGTTAGCCGCTCAGAGTGGTATAGATTTATCAGATGGGCGGGATATAAATCAAATAAATAAATAAATAAATAATATTGGCTACTATCATAATATTACTTTCATAGTGTACAATATTCTCAAGATCTTGTAGTAACATACTTAATAAAAGTAGTTCCAGATCCATGCCCCAACCTTATATCTAGTTTAATTTACCTAAAAAGAAAACCCACTATATTACGTCTTTACCCTGGTTAGTGCTCCCTTATTTCAATTTAATTCTCCGCATGGTCCCAAACTTCGCTAAGCGAAAATTGCCCATAGGAAACATCGTTATACGGTGCATATTATTTTCTAAAAAAACACATCGTTATGCGAATTCATCGCTAAACGAGGCACTCGTTAAGCGAGGCACCACTGTATACTGTACATTAAATAGAATTGGGGACAGAATAGAAACCTGAAGGATCCTATAGGTCAAAGATAAGAGCACCCAACAGGAGTCTTCCAACACCTTATGGCCTTGCATCTCAGGAAAGACTGAAGCTACTGCATAACACCCCTGAAAAGGGAGGAGGAAGAATACCCAGAATACCCAGTATCTGCCAGAGAGACAGTGAATAAATGCCATCCAACTGCTTGTAGCTGCTTGCTCTCCATCTGAAGGACTCTTTCCTGTAGTAGCCTATTTTCTGAACTAGATCCTTGTTAGAAGAAGTTAAAAATTGCATCAGCTTATCAATTTTCTTTTAGTTTAGGTTGCTCGTGAAGGGATGTGTTTCTGTGTGAATTATGGTGATGGAGAGCAGGTGGTGATTACACAGGAAAGAGAGTCACAGAATGAGGAGGAAGTTAAACAATTATGAGAAAAGAGAAAGAAATAAAGTGTTGGTCGTCCTTCAGTTCAGATAATCTGGATAGCCCTGGCAGTAGACCTCCTGGGTTGCCAGTGCTGCCACTGAATGCTGGTTTGGTGAATGAGAAAATATAGCTGTCCAGAAGATTCTACATAAACATATCAACCTGGCTTTTATTATAGAGAACTGGCTGAATGATGCTAAGGGTGGTCAGTCTGCCTCAGCCTTGCCCACCTTGGGTTTTTTGTGCAGGTGGGCAAGGAGAGAGAAGGGATGGTCTTGCACGGTGGCATGGTGATAGTCTTGCTATGATTTACTGTGGTTCAATCCTCACCATATGCCTTGTCACATAGTTCATAGGGTTTGCATGTGTTGTTCCAAAAATAGATGACTCGGAGAGCATAGGGTGTTTTGTTGTAATGAAATTTTTTTTAGGAAAAGTGGTGGACATAATTGCTCATAAGTATCCCCTATGATTGAGTGGAACTAAACTAGTCAGTGTGAAGTTTTTGGTAATGAAATAAATGAGCTGGCAACTGGAGCAATGATGGCAGAAATTTGAAGCAGGCCTGAATGAACACAGGGTACAGCTGTTAGGAAGACTTACTGTATGGTGATGCTGACAGTAAATACCAGTAAATCATTCCTCTCTGCTACTGTTGCATTTGTCATCCAACAGGATCTCGAGTGGTCATGGAGCTATTATACTGTGGCTCACAAGAAGGAAATGCAGACCTGTTATGAAAAATTTGCATAGATAAAATTGCTCAGCTTCACCCTGACTTGTAGCTAATAACATCTTCCTTTGCTTAACCAGTTTTTGGGCTATCCAGAAACAAAGATCTCACATAAACTACTTTTAGGTCTTAATCCCCAGATTACACTTACCTGTGCAAAATTTCTCACAGCTGCATGCGTTATGTAAAAAATTAATGGATAATGATTTTAAGCTATAACTTTCCTTTAACTCTGCTTTCCTTTGTTTTAGCACTATGACTGCCTTGTAAATGTAACTTGTATTATTATTAATGGCTTTTGCTGGTCCTGGACTGTAATAATCATAAACTAAACAAAGCATACCTGTTATGAAGAATTTGCATAGATAAAACTGCTCCACTTCACCCTGACTTACAGCTAACAACATCTGGCAAATATAAATGCTGTCCCTGCTTCTCCAGTAATAATCAATGTGTTTCTGTTTGTATAAGCCAAGGATGCAGACAGGACCCTTGAAGAGATTCAAGCCACCATGTCTGTTCTGGATCCTTGTCCTTTTTGTCTTCAAATAGTGACTGTACTGTCTCATGCAGAGTAACACAGTTTGAAAGCGATCAGAATAAGAACCTGAAATTGCCAAGAGTAGCAAAAGTACAAAATTTTAAGAAGGATAATAACAGTTGGCAGTATGTGGCAGGGGAGGGGAACACTGCTCAGTATTTCTTCCCTCTGCTACTCTGGGAAATCTCCTTGTCACTCTGGGGGTCATGGAGGGATTTCCTGCTGGAGGAAATTACCTGGATCAAAATAAATAAATAAATAAAAATACCTAGATACTTATTCTATCTCTCTATCATACTGTGCTTTCAGAATGAGATTAAATGCAACACATTTATGTAAAGCCTTCATCTCTTTTAGGTGCTATAGGATTTAGGAGCACATTGTTGTGCCTATTGTTAAGTTAATGCACAAAGCCATCCACTGAGAAACAATTTTTTTTCTATTTTTAAAGTTCAAATGGAGAACAGTTTTATGACTACCGGGATGCTGTGATAGCCTGTTTGTCAAAAACATGTGTAAAACAATTGTGTACCTAGCCCAAATTAATTACAAAAGTGTATTAAGTCAAGCTATATGTTTTTTTTAAATTAGGAATGAAAAACAAAAATTGCAGATGGAAGTATTCCAGTTTAATTTACTTCAGTCACAGTTATGTTTCTACTGGTGATTTCACACTGCCATTGACATTCTGGTTATCCTTGCCAACAGGTTTTCTAAACCCCTTTTGAAATATGTGCTAGAAAATTTACCATGCTTGTTTTTAGTATTTGCTTTATCTTTTTTTCTCCTTTAGATCTTATTGATGGCTATGCAGATGAAAAATCACTTCTGGAGAAGCAAATCCAGGAAAAAATAGATGCAATAGACCATCTTGAGCAAGAGCTACTTTGTACAGGTAACAAATTGCAGGAACTAGAAGCTGAGAGGCAACAGCTTCAAGAAGAGAAGGAGTTATTCTTCAGACAAAAGGATGCTATGAAAGCTGATGCAGGACCAATAGAACAACGTATGTATTCCCCTCAATCATTTGAAGATGTTGCTTGTTTTTTAATTCTTATTAAGTTCTTTTCATTGTTTATGTAAAACATTGGGAGAGCAAAGAAAAATAAGAACCATCAGATCAGCTGCTCTTTGTGTAACAAGACTTTCCATGTTTCTTAAAACCAAGTCATGGTATTGAGATAGTTTGTCCCAAGCAAGGAACAAATGCACTACGTGAGGATGCTTGTGCAACAATTTTGGATGAAAATTGCTGTCCATAATGACGTGTGGAAAAAACTCTTTTCCAACCCCAGCTATGACAGTCAACACTTAATTGAAACAAAGATCCACTCATTCTTTTCATGTTGTGTTCCAGCTAATGTGAATGTTATAACAGGTAGTTGATGGTGATACTCCAGCTGCTCAATTAGGTTTTTGTTCCAAAGATTGTTCCTGAGGTGTATTTTTGTATATATTTTTGCTTGGAAAGTAAATTATCTTTAGATAAATAGTTTGGGGGCAAATACTCTAGATATCTTTAGTGGATTTGGTAGGTACCTACTTAATCCAGTTTTATTAGCGAGACTAAATCAAAGCTTTAATTTTCCATGGATAAAACAGTCAGTACTCCTTCTGTCAAAGTGACTGTGTCAAATATCTACTGGGGTGTTTTTGAGCCCAAATCCAGTGAATTAGAGCTGTGTAGGTTTCTAGTGTTTAACTACTCAGTTCCTCACCCAAAAGATTTGCAAATGTTTTCTGGATAACTTGGCCTAAAATTTTTTAAGTGTTGACATGGAGGTAGATCTATATTGTTTAACTAATGTATTTTAGTTAAATGTTTTGTTATGCCAAAAATATAGAACCCAATTTCTGCATTAATAATTCTTTCATAGAGTTGGTGTGCTGTAGCCATGTGTAATTTTTGTGGCTGCAGAATGAATCTGTAATAAAAGGTTGTGTTAGAATGTTAGGGTCTGTTCTATCTGCTGGATAGTAAACATAGCATAGAATTTATCCCTTTGTAGCTACATGACTAAAGATTTGAATATCAAGCTGAAAACTCAGAGTCAAATCTTTACTATTGGACATTGATGTATTCTTATAGCCAGTTTATGCTGTGCTGTTTGCCTTTGTCTGATCCAAAAAGAAAAACAATTGACCAGGAATGAGGCTGAGATGGTTTTTTTGTACAGGATACTGTGCAACTCAAGCCTGCCTGGGGTATTAGAACAAAAGCCAGGAACATGAATGAGTAGCTAATACTAGGCTAACCCATTACAAATGGCAACAGTGCTGGTCAGTGCAGGCATAGATTTATGATGGAATGTATCTCAGCCAATTTAATACAACATAGTCTTCCACAAAGATCTATCCAGCCTTTTATATGTCAGAAATAACACTCGACGTACACATTTTGGTTATGTACATAGTCATTCTTCCATCAGTGCTACATTTTGTCTTACAATAATTTTGTGAGATAAGCTATTTTCAATAACATAGTTTGTCAAAGATCACCCAGTGAGCTTCATAACAAGTCTGCTTGTTCCCTTACCAAAATTCAGTACTGTAAGCACAACACAACTGGAGAGTTCAACTTTGAAGTCATAATGAATTTGATGTAAAATTTTAGTCCATAAACATGCCGTAGCTTCTTGTGATCAGTGAAATGTCCATATACATAGGAAAATATGTAAATGACTATATATATTGCAAAATGCTCCAGGTATTAGATATGTGCTAGAGATTGAAAAGGATGTATACAACAGAAATGGACTGCATTTCTGTGTAATTGTTTTAAAACAATCATTCCTACCTCCTCTAAGTAAGATGTGGTATGGAATCAAGATCTGTATTTATTTTAATTATGTCACTTTGTGCTCACCTTTTCATTGGGTAGGGTGTAGAATGAAAATAAAAAGCTTATTTAATGTGCATACGTATTTGTTCAACTAATATTTGCTTTCATAAAGCAAATTCATGCTTTAATCTTGTTTCTAATACAGAATGTCTTTGAGATTTGCAAACAGTTCTTTAAAACGAATACAATTATATTTTAAAGGAGTAAAGAAAAACACCTTAATTGTATTTTTCGGTAACATGAAATATTTTATTTAAATTGGTTAAAAGGCTTTTCAAAAGTTAGTAACAAAGGGATAGTTAGGAATTCATTCATTCTGAAAAAAGTATAACATGTAAAACTATTAAAATCAGGTTTTCTATTTTAAATTAATCTTGCAATCGATATATTCAGAAATAGTGTTTTGTTTTGAATTTATAATATCTATGATGTGAGTTGGCTGTTCTAAGAGTTTCTAGAAAAAGTACATTTCTTTATTGAAGGAAACTGAGTCGCTATCATGCTTAACCAAATAATGACACATTTCTTACACCATCAGGCATTTTCACTGAATTCCACATTCTGTCTTCAGCTTCATTTTTCTCATACAGTATTGCACCTTGAGAAAAACTATAGATGGCATGTGAATTACTTTTGCTTCTTGTTTTTTTTCTGTTCTCCTAGGCCTAGTAGATGCTGCAGTCGATGCAGCTTCCCAAGCAGGTGTGTTTGTATATTGCATGGCCAATCTTTCATTGGGTGGCAGAGTTAACAACTACTGACGCTTACTAATCATGGTTTCTCTTTGGGCTTTCAGCTTACTGACATAAACTTTTGCTGGTCTGCAGCTTTCATGCTGTGTTTCATGTTCATAGTTTTCTTTTTAATAACAATTGCTCACAGTTTCTAAATATAATTCATTGGGATAACTCTTCAAAGAATAAGATTCCCTTAAGAACCATCATCTTATTCAATTAATGATTTGTGAATTCAGGTTTGTTTGTTTTAAGCTGTAAAAAGATTGGTTTGCTCTACCCTTTCCAAATACTGTATGACATCTGTATTGACGCACAATGTTTAAGCAAGCAAGGATGATATAAGATGATGGTACCCAAAGAACTGTATTGTGTAGTCCAAAAAAAAAGGGAAACCATTATCTGGTGACTTTTCTTATTTGCTTTCTTTCATTTACTTGTCAAAGAGTCTGATCCATAAAGCCATTACTCAGCTGCAAACGTAACTTAAGATCAACAAATGAGTTATGATTGCAATGTCTATATCTATTATACTGGTAATATGAACTAAAAGAGAGGCCAAGATATTTCCCTTATCTTAGCATCTCTTTTAGTTGCATGTAATGTTAGATAATACATGCTTTATGAAGTCCCTCTGATGTTATATCAGTGGACACATCCTCTGCAAAAAGCAGATTTGGTAGTATCAGAAATGTCAGACCATAAGGAAAAAAACACAGTGCACCCCTTACCCCCACCTTTAAAGCCTCAAGATGGGAGATGCACACATGGGAAATGGCTGTCTTACTGCTCAATGTAGCCTTAAACATTCAAATTGATTGGAATGGCGTGAGAAAGAGATATGTGACACTAGGTCTCAGCTAGCTGTGGTTCAATGTTTGGCTTCCCCAAACAGTGAAAAATGACTTGGGGAGGGTAGCATTTCCAACTGCAGGTAGGAAATTGTAATCTCTGCTGTTCTTGTAACTCACCAGGTGAAGGTCTGTACTATTTGTTCATTCAAATGTTGTATGTCCTGCTTATTTGAAAATTTATGTTGGCTCATGTTCAGCCCTTCTGGATGAGAAAGTAGTTGGGTTTTATACTATCATACACCTGCCCCACTTTTATTAAAATATATTTAATTATTATTTGTGTTAATGAGCTATATAGATGGTTAACCAATTACATCAGCTCAAAAAGTGGGGAGCAGGGAATGCTTTTATTGGACTACTAAAATTTCACTGACAAGTGCTAGTTTTCAAGTCCTGTAGGAATCTTCATCATGTTGGGCATTGCTAGAGAGGATGTGTAGAAGAGGAAAATTAGAGCGAGATTTATGGACCAGGATTTCTTGTTTAAAGCAAGTTTCAAAATGGAAGAATTTGCATCATTATGGAGTCAGCTGAGATGGCAGGTTTCAGGTTTCATCGAGGTGATATAGATTTCATTGTCCCACCCATACTTGGTAGTCAAATGAGCTGCCAATCACTCAGCAGTCTCCCATATTGCTTTATATTGAAGTGCACGGATTCTACTTTGCTGCAAACATAGGCAGGCATAGAGAAACATGGCAGACCCCATATCAGACAACTTTGAGATATAAATTAGTTTACACATTAGATAAGGCATAGTCAGTTCCAGTTAAATGAGTTGGAGGAAGATGTAATTCTCAGTTCAGTGCCATGTTTCTTGAATGATGGAGAATGTCCTTGCTTGGAAAAAGCAATGTAATCCACATAGTCAATTAAAAAACAACGCTGGACAGTACCTTTATTAGTCCACTAATACCTCACAAACAGGCTTATTTAGTTAAATCAGTATGTATTGTAAAGAAAGATGAAACTGTCTGACTTTCTTCTGGGTATTTGTATGATTTTTGTGATATTCTTTCTTCTTAATTAATCAAGAGATGTAGTAAAAGACACCATATAATCTTGGCAAAGCCCAAACTTTTTTCCATCCGGTAATATATTGTAGCATGACTGCATAGTTTTCAGAATGGGTTTATTCTGGCAAATTAACTTAACTCTGCATATCTAAAAATAGTTGATTTCTTTATGAAATAGAATTGTTGGCAGAGACAGAAAAGCTAATGAAAGAAAAAATAGAAGTGCAGCGACAGGCTGAAAAAGAATATGACTACCTTCAAAAGCAAGTGAAAGTACTGGAAACTGATATAGAGGAGCAGGTCAACCGGTTCTTGGAACTAGAGCAAGAAAAAAATGCAGAGTTAATGGATCTAAGACAGCAAAATCAAGCTCTGGAGAAACAGCTTGAAAAAACAAAAAAATTCCTAGATGTAAGTAAAAGATGGGTTACAAATTGACTGATTTACAACAAAATAAGAGAAAGCTGTTTTCAAACCTGTAATTAACCCTGCCCACGAACACCTCGGTTAACATAATTTTTGGTTTACGAACAGAAATCCGTTGAAACTAATGCGTTGGTTTACATTTTGGGTTTTTTTTTTTCAGTTTGTGAAGGAAGTTTCCCCCAGATGCATTGTGCTTGGATGTTTATAGCACTGCCCCCGTTTCTATGGCAATCCGTGTTTCAGTTTACAAATTTTTCACTTTACGTAAACATCCCGTAGAACGCATTAAATTTGTAAACCAGACTTCAGAATTTAAAAGGTGACTTCAAACTGGAAAATAGACTCCCAAGCGTCCTTACAAGAGAGAGTGTCCTAACAGAATGTGAAGTTACCTCTTTATATGTTATATAAATGTTATAAAATCAAGTTGAAGAGTAACTGGTAGTTTGCAGACATGTAATGTTTTCTGGTGTGAGAAGTAGTAGAGAATTGTTTACTATGGTGTGCCAAAATTGGCCATGACATTTATATATTTACTGAGCTAACTGATTTGATTTGGTTTCTGAGGAATAATCTAAATGTGCTATTGCAGTACAACCAGAAATTCTACTTTAAGGCACTGATGTAATATAAAAATCCTGAAAAATTAGCGAACTATTTTGTTGCACATTTTCAGTATGATTTACACCAGAGTGGTGCCTCCACTTATGACCATAATCCATTCCAGAAGATGGACGTAACTCAAAATGGTTGTAAGTCAAAGCACCATTTCCTATAGGAATGCATTGAAATGCAATTAATCTGTTCTGACCGAAGAAAAAAATCACACAAAAAAAATCACTGCAAGACTCATTGGAAATGCAATTAATCCCTTCTGGCCAAAAGGCGGCGGTGGCGGGGGGGGAATCAATCAAGCATGCAAGACCCATTGGAAATGCACAGAAAGCCAACAGAGCAGATCAGAAATGCACAGAGAACAAAGGAGGCAGGTCGGAAATGCAAAGAAAACAAAGGAAAAAGCAAGGGAAGCATGCAGGACCCATCGGAAATGGGGGCAAAAAAACCCAAAAGCAACCAAACCCCCCAAGACCCACTGGAAATGGGGAAAAAGCCAAAAAACAAACAACCCCCCAAGACCCATCAGAAATAGGGAGGGAACAAAAAACAAACAACCCCCCCCAAGACCCATTGGAAACGGGACCCATCGGAAATGGGGGCAAAAAAACCAAAAAGCAACCAAACCCCCCAAGACGCACTGGAAATGGGGGAAAAGCCAAAAGAACAAACAACCACCCCAAGACCTATCAGAAATGGGGGGGGGAACCAAAAAACAAACAAACCTCCCAAGACCCATCACAGCACAGAAATATAACCCCTCCAGCTCAAAACCATGCTGCAAAAACACCCAGAACAGTTTTTAAAAAGCAGAAAACAGCACCATACCTTACAAGGCAACCTGAAGCCTCCCTGCAAACACACACACACACTCTCAGATGCAGAAGGAGGCAGTCCCAAGCCTACAACAAGGACACCAAAATTGTGGCCAGAACAGCTAGTGGTGAAGGCTTCTGGGAGTTTAGGTAAAAAGCTACAAAGTAGCAGCCTTGTCGCCACCTACTGTTAGCAATTTGAATTTCCCGCCTTTTCCCCCTGCCTTTTTCTGTTTGTAAGTGGAAGCTCTGGTCGCAAGTAGAAGCAAAATTTTGCGGCCGGAGCTCGAAATGGTTGTAACTTTAAATGGTTGTAAGTAGAAACGTTCATAGGTTGAGGCACCACTATACCTCTACTGGTACTTTACAATGTATGGTAGTATATTTAGGAAGGTATCTGATGTTGGCTCTGCCGTAAATTTGCAAGCAAGAACAGATATGTGAAATATCCATTTGCTTTTTTCCTTCCTTGGCAGTCATGTTCAAGTAGTCATAAATGAGGTGTGTCAGGAAGAAACAAAAAATAATTATTTAAAAAAATAAAACAAAATAAAGAAGGCGAAAACATGGCACCTTAAATTCTAACTGCTATATCTGAATGCGAGCTTTGTGGACAAGTCCTCTTCTTCAGACACAAAAGCTCATGTTAAAATATAGCAGTTAGTCTTTAAAGTGCCACAACATTTTTGCCATCTTTATTTTTTTATTTTTGTTTTATTTTTGCCTGACATGCTAGCAAAGACTAAACGTGGCTACCTCTTCTAAAACTACAAATGAGGTAGTTGTTTTGGAAAACAGTTGACTTCCTTGGCAGCTCAAGTGCCTTGTAAAGCTGTTTTTTTAGCCTGTGGTCAGTGGAAATAGCCCAGTGGCCAGAATCCTGTTGCTTAAGTTGCAGTTCTGTGATGACATCATCACCCAAGGCCAAGCCATAGTCACACCCCATTCATTTGGAGGGAATTAAAAGCTTCCTATTCCACCCCTGAAAAAGGTCCTAGGTGTCCCTGTTGATCTGTGGAATAGGAGGGAGAACTCATTAATGCCTGAAAATCCCCACCATCAGTCCCACTCCCACTTTCCTGCAGCTGATGATGTCATCACAGTCTAGTCATCAATTTGGTCAGTATGTAATACTATAATGGATTTATGACACCATCATGTTTCTTCTGTCCGTAATATGTATGTTTGAAATAAAACTAAATAAAGAACTGTACCCTTATTTGGAAGTTTCTTTAAATGTATTTGGCATTAAAAAAGATTAATGTTTTATATTTTAGGAACAGGCAATTGATAGGGAGCATGAAAGAGATGTGTTCCAGCAAGAAATACAGAAGCTTGAGCAACAGCTTAAGATTCCCCAGCGACTTCAGCCAGTCAATGAACACCAAAACCGAGAAGTAAGATACATCATTTTATTTTAACCATTAATAGAGAAATTTAGAACGGTAGAAATAGTGCAAAAATAGAATTTGATATTGCCTCACTGGAGGAGGCGGGGCAGGGAAGCTGAGACGCTGCCTCTGAGCAGGCACCCTCCAGAGGGTGTGGAGCACCGAACTGCCGAGCACTTGTTGTAGTGGTAAATGAACCACGTTCATGCCTATCTCTGTTCATAACACTAGCTCTATTCATGATTCAGTTAAAAGACAACCCAGCCTTCTTCATGAACACACTGGTAAAGCAGAGGCAGGACACTCTTTGTGCGCTACATGTAGAATCTATAACGTTTCTAGGTAAATCTCAAATGTATTTGGAATAAGCACAGTTGCCAAATTACTCACTTAATCTGTTTTTGTTTGTATCTGTGCAATAGTACTTTATTTAATTTGGCAGGGTCTTCAGCTTATTTCTGCTGACAGCTATCTGTTTTTTGCTCTATATGAGTGTGTTCTCGTACTTGTTTTTCTCTCTGGCCAATTAACTTCTTTTTTAAGGATGTCTTTCTAGTTGCCTAAAACCTCAACATTCCTTTTTAATAGGAATGGCAGCTTATTTTTTCTCTTTGTCTCACCTCACATTCTTCTATCTTTCCTATCTTTATTCTCTTGACCCTTTCTTTCTGAGTGGTTTTCTATAGTTAAATATTTTAGACATTGACACTTCTTATTTCCTTATGCCATTTTTTCTTCTACACAATCTGGCTAGCTTTCCCGCAAATATGCATTTGAATGTAAGGCCTACATTTGCATAAATCATCTAAACTTATTATCAGAAAGGATTCATCATCCTTGATATCTAAATTTCCAGAAGTTTGAATCTATTTTTATCTGTTGCCCCCAGGTTGAGCAGTTAACGAATCATCTCAAAGAAAAAACAGACAAATGCAGTGAGCTTTTGCTCTCTAAGGAGCAGCTTCAGAGAGATGTACAAGAACGGAATGAAGAAATAGAGAAATTAGAGTGCAGAATCAGAGAACTGGAACAAGCTTTAATGATCAGTGCAGACAGTTTGCAAAAGGTATTTAAATGAACAATTCTTCACGTTTTAATTTATTATTAATAGAGCATTGTTTCCTTTAATAGCTGGAGGAGTGTGACAACTAATACCCTTATTTTAAAGGTGGAGGAAAGGAAGCAGTTTGGCTCTGCAACAAAAAGGGGACAATTGCCCCTAGAAGCACAATTACAGGCTGAGCAAGAGGCAGTAGACAGAAAAGAGAAAGAGGTGGAGTATTCATTTTGGTTATTCAGATATGTTAATGTTTAGTGTAAACCTTTACATTCAACATAATATGATGGATCATCTGCAGAGGTGAGCATACTTGCCCATATTTAATGTACAAACTTGCCTTCTTTCTGCTAATTGTAGGCTGAAACGTTCAGCCTATACGGGAGTGACGCTTGCTAATTTGCCATTTAAAAGCTAATCTCCCCAAAAGCTAAGAGGTAGCATGCCAAAATATGTTTTCTACCCAGTGCCTCCCTTCCTAGCATCACTTGTCCAGATGTGTATATCCACTACATGTCTGCCTTGTATTCCTTAGGTATGGAAGGTGAGGAAACAGAACACTTTCCTTGCCTTACTTTTCCAGACTCATTGTGAATTTCTGGGGTTTTGCATAATGCTTAAAACTAAAAATTAAATACTGAGCCTTGTTTTAAATATAAAACATCTTGGTAGATTTTGATATTTCTCAAAAACATTTGATTTTGTTTGTTTAAAATGAATGATTCCTTTAACAATTATTTTGGATATACAGATCATAAATCTTGAAGAACAATTAGAACAGTTCCGTGAGGAATTAGAAAACAAAAATGAAGAAGTACAGCAGTTGCACATGCAATTAGAAATTCAGCGGAAAGAGTCTGCTACACGGCAACACGAACTTGAGCAAGAGAATAAATTGTTCAAGGTAATTATTTAGAAAGGAAATAAGTTTTTCCTTCTTTCCCCCTTGAATGAATATATTCTGCTGATCATTAAATTTTCCAATTTTTAGTAGATACCATTTCTGTTTTTTTTAAAAATGTTCACAAATTTCTGTATATCTGATGAAATGAAAAGAATTAGAGAAGGAAATGCATTAAGTTGCATTCTGTACCACTGTTTTTATCTGTAGGAGGATATGGAAAAATTGCGACTAGCTATCCAGACTCCTGAAGATACCACTATAAAAAGTCATCATCCAGTTGCTGGAACATTTATACAGATCATACAGCAAAGGGAACAGCAGATAAATGAACTCCATGAACAAATTTCAAAACTGCAGCAGCAACTTGAAACTGCAACAGATAACAAAGTACATGGTTTCTTGGATTTTTTGTGAGACAAACTCGACCTCTTTAGATTTTGAATGACTTAAAGTATCAGAATAGGGTTTAAAGGAAACTAATTTCCTGATGGTCCAAAATGGACTATCTGTTCTCATAGATGCTTTCTTCGAGGTATTTCTATTGTAACCTGCAATTTCTGTTTAATACTGTATATTTTGTGGGTTTAACCTTAATGCCTCTGTAGGCTATTGGAGCAATTTGGAAAATAGGTATCTGAGAATGTTTATTGTCTACAATATAACACGTGCACTTCGGATTTGATTAGAATTCCCTTTATTTCAGTGGTTCCTAACCTTGGGTAATTTGGGTGTTCTTGGACTTCACTTCCCAGAAGACTTCACCACTAACTGTGCTGGCTTGGGTTTCTCGGAGCTGCAGTCCAAGAACACCTGAGTTACCCAAGGTTGGGAACCACTGCTCTACTGGATAGTGTAGGAAGGCAAACTCTGGTTGTTAGCATGCTGATTTCTGCTGCTGCCAATTTCCTTTCTGTGCAGTTCCTACCCCTACAGCACCCCTTCCTGTAACTTGGATCTATTATTACATGTCCTGAACTCCAGAATGATTGAGAACAGGGCTATTTCATACCCCTTTCAAATTATTCATACTCTTATTCAGTCTCTTCTTCTTTGGTGCTACATATCCTGCTCCTTTAGTGGGCATATTGAAGGTCTTATTAGGTAAAGCCACACCTGGCTGAGAGGATGGGGAACTTGCAATCATTCATTGTAGTACTATGCATTATGTTATCATTATGTTATCATTATGTTATCATTGCATCAAGGGAAGTACACAGTGAACCAAACATATGTGCTCAGGTCACTAGTGATTTATCCATCGCTTTACAGTCACAACAGCATATGTGGTCAGTACATAGACGTACAGTATGTGCTTGCCGAAGGGAGATTGAAAAACTTCACAAACCTGAACATTAATAATCCCTCACCTACCTTCCTTCAATTAATCATCAGGAAATGATTTTGTTCTGTTTAGTTACTGCCTTTCTTTTCTATCATTTTAAAGATGGTTTAAGTAGCTTGTAACTGATTTCTGATGCTGTATCTTTTTGCTCAGATAGCAAAACAAAGATGTTACTAGAACAGATCAAAGTACATGCAAATCTGGACTACTGAAATGATTGTACTCTTTGTCATTTATTTAAAGGCAGTATTTCAGCTACCTCCCATTTGTATTTTACAGTTATCACACTTCTTGCTCTTTCTACCTTTCCTTCCTTGGACTAAAATCATTTTGGAGATTTATAAAGCATTTCTTGTCTATTTAGCTTTCTAAAATTTTCTTCTAAATGCCTTGAGCAATTCATCCAGTTCTTCTCTACCAGCCATTTCCTGTTCTACTGTGGATCTCTTTCAGAGAAAAGAAGAATAATTTATTGTATGATTGGATGCCTATCTCTTGAATAATTTTTGCAGTGTATACATTCAAGCCGTAGCAATATACTGTAGTAGCAAAGCATGCATTGCTTTCTGTTATGCTTCTTTGTACTGTATTTCACAAATTCTTTTTGTCACCAGAGACTTCCATATTCTTCTCTTATTCTCAGTCATGTTTATCCTGTGAAAACAAGTAATTGAGATTTTTTTTTGCAACAAGTTCTCTTATCTTAACCATATGCCTAAAAATGGAAACAATTTCATTATTGTCACAAGTTTCTGCACTTTGATCCTAGAGACCAGGATTATTTCTTCCTTATTTTGTTTTCCTTATTTTATTAGGTCTGACAACTATAATTTATTTTGATAGCTAAATATATATATTGTTACTTTTCTGGAGGTCTTTCTGGATTCTGTTGTAAATAATAGGTACCATCATGGAAGTGTGGTATTAAAATGAAGTTGACAAGTTCAGATATAGAAATAATTTTAATGGGGAAACTATTAGCTTGATTAAGCTTATACAAATTATTCTAGGTTATCTCCATATTTGGAAATAAAGACCTAAATCTACTTGTTAATCTCATCTAGAGTATACCTATTCAATCAGTGGGAACTTGGTAAATTCATTTGATTCAATGTGTGCTCTGGTTGAGTATAGCAATTATATTTAGGCCATAATTGAACTAAAGCAAAATCTGGTCTTGTACGCAGTGTCTTAGAATTCTGCACAATGAACTTTACGTTCTCAGAATGCTGTGTTGTTTGAGCAAAAGGCATGTTTATTTACCTACTGTATCCTATTGGCTTCTGAAAGCTTTTTAATCCTTCCTAGATGCATGCTGATAAGATCCAGGTGGCCCTCTAAGAAATGTGATATGTAGACCTTTAGCAACTAGAGGGAATGTGCAAAAATTGAATGTATCTGTTTATGCAAGTAGAAGTACTTTGCACTTTGGGTGAAAAGACAACTGAAAGCACCAAAGTATTAGCCAAAAGACAACTATGAAATGTTTCAGTTGTGTGAATGTGTTTATAGGTTCTTCCAGATTTCATGTGAAGGCAGAATTGACTAGAGCTGTGAAATGTGCCATAGTACGACAAAGGCCAGTATCTTCTTCAGGGTGGATAAAAATCAATGTTTTTTTAACAAATTAATTGTAATCATAAATTAAATTGTCAAAAATCCCATTTTAAAATTTAAATTGTGCTCAATTTGAATCACATCCACCCTGATCCTCTTGCAGAGCTTGACCAGTGTGACTGGAATGACATAATCAGCAACAACAGATGACTGCTAATTAAAGAGCTCCTTTTTTCCAGAGTGCACACAGCTTGTGCACAATGATACAAAGTCATGCACATCTCAAAATTAAAAAAAGGAACTCTTTAGTTAAGGGTAATCTGCTGCTGCCAAAGACATCAGTCCAACTGCAGTGATGGACCTCCACAAGAGGATAATAGCCAAATACTGGTAATGTATGGAGAAATTGATTTTAATCAAGGTGTTTGATTAGTTCTGGAAGTGTTTCTTTTTCTGATAATCAATATTTTCATTTCTTAGGTGATTGAGGAAAAGAATGAGTACATAATTGAACTGGAAGCCCAAATAGAATACTTAAAGAGTGACCAAGAACGTGTAAAGCAGAACTGTCAGCAAGAAATAGAGGAGCTGAATGAAGTTATAGAAACACTCCAGAAGGAATTGACAAATATTGGGCACAAGACATTAGACATCTCATTGACTCAGGAGGATGCTGATAATATAAAACATCAGCTTGAGGTAGTGTTGGCAGAGAAAGAAGCTTTGATGAAGCAAGTGGAAAATAATGATGTAGAGTTATCTTTTATGAAGAATGAACTTAAGGAAACAAAATTAAAGATAAGTACCTTAGAGAAAGAACTAAATGCACTAAAAGAGGAACAAGAAAGAATGGAACAAGAACATGAAAACATGCAGATGAAAAGTGGTATGTCAGAAGGAGGAGCAGCAATCAAAGAAAAAAATGAAAATCTGGAAGCTATAAATCAAGAAAAAAGTGAAATACCCTCTGGGTATGTGGGTGAAAAAACCAGAGAGTCTTCTAGCAAGACAGACACAAAGATGCAATTGCTTCAAAAATCTCTTAACGAAAAGAATTCAGAGTTAAAGCACTGTTACAGTCAGCTCAAAGATTTAAAAGAGCAATCACAGGCTACATCAGAAGTGTTTAAGCAAAGAATTAAAGAGCTAGAAGAAACACTTAAGCAAAAGGTTCTTGATGCCCATGTAAATCAAACTCATCTGAATGTGATTGGGGAGCAAAGTCAGGGTTTCCAAGGAATGCAGGCAGTTTCAGGAGATGCCAAGGAAGCTAAAGTAAATAGCACAGCAGAAGATGTAACATCCAGATTATCAGAGTTATTGAAAAGACTTTCTGAGGTGGAGAGTCAGTTGGCATGTGCTCAGACCAACCTGCAAATAGAAAAATCAAAAGTGGAAATTGCACAGAAAGAAGCAGAGGAAAAGGAGGAGAGACTTACTGAACTTAAGCACCTTCTGTCAGAAGCAGAAGAAAAGCACAACAAGGAGAAAGCACAGAATTTTGAGGAAAGAGAAACACAATCCACTGAGGTGTGTTGCCTGAAGATAGCTACTTATTTTTCTAAGAGTATGGTGTTTTTCACAAATGAAGCACAAAATGGGCCAGTTAATGTTTTAAAATGTAACACATGGGAAATGGGATCCAAAACATAAAGGATATGTCAGAGTTCTTTAAAAGTGCAAATAGTTATTTAACAGGATAAGAGTATGTAAATAAACCTCATTTCCCATAGATAACACCAGCCACTTCTCACTGCAGTGCCCTCCAAGTGTTTTGGACTACGATTCCCAACATTCCTGACAACTGCCTGATGATATATTTTATATTGATGTATTTTATGTTGTAAGCCGCCCCGAGTAGACATGGTCTAGAGAGGCGGGGTATAAAACAAACAAACAAACAAAAAAACTGGATGGCAGCATTAAAATATTTTGTGATGGTCGGGATGCTATGAAATGCAACTAAGTGTGATGTTCTATTTCTCTCTCTCTCTCTTTTGTATGGTCATACAGGTGGGGATAGAACTGAGTGAAAACAAGCAAAGAAATGAACTGACTCCTGATCCTGAACTGGAGAGAGTCAAAGCTGAGTCTGCTGCTGCTAAGGAAGAACTTAATAGTTACAAAGAGAAAATAGAGAAGCTTGAAGAGCAATTAAGAGTAAGAACTGATTTATGAAGTATTCCTTTTAGAGACTGGGAACACAGAGACAGTTCCCATGCACTTAGTTAAACTAGGATGTTACTTACATTGTGTGTTGCACTGTGTTTCCTAGATGAGTCACACAGAGAGGTGACTCATATTAGACTCACAGTATTACTTTGAAAGCAGGCATGCCCAGCTTTCCAAAATGTCAAACTCAACTTTATGCAAATATATTCTGCCTAGATAGATAGACTGCAGGAGAAAATTAAAATAAAATAAAATCTTGTTCAAGTTAAATACTGATACAATATCTCTAATTCTTCTGCTATAGAGTGGGAAGGTAGATTTCAAAACATTGAGTTAACCTATGACAGAACCTTTAAAAGCTAGTTTTAAGGTAGGTGCCATTTAAAAATGTGTGAAAAGCTCTGGACTGTTTGAAAAGTTTAGAAGCACATATAAGGTCTTCAGCTTCTTAATGTGAAAACAAGTTACGAAGTGGTTGAAATTCTGATTTGTTTGCAGGTAAAAGAAACAAGTCTGCTTCGCCTTCAAGAAGAATTTAGAGAAATGAAAGATAAACTGGCACAAACAGAAGAGAAAATTGCAGATCATGTGAGAAGAGAAGAGAGCATTGAAAAATCAGAGAGAATGTGTACCAACAGAATAAATGCATCATGTCAGACTGACAAAGCACTGCACATCAATAGTTGCAACCAAACTTCACAGCTCCTTGTTAAAAATGAAGGAATTCAGATTAATTTACAGAATGGGTGTTCTTCTGAGGAAGTTGCAGAAATCATAAGAGAGTTCAGTGAAAAAATAGATCAAATGCAAGAACTCCATGCTGCTGAAATAATGGATATGGAGTCACGGCATATTGCAGAATCAGATGCACTGAAAAGAGAGCAATTTCTTACAGTGCAAGAACTAACTGAAGAATGTAATTCTTTGAAGGATGCTATAGAAGCACTAAGAGATAAAGAGGTGTGTACTATATACAATTTCAGAACATGCACTTTATGTTTACTAAGGTTTTTTTGACGGGCGGGGAACACTTACAACTAGAGATGGGGTATTCATATTCGTGATCGGCAAGCCACTCTTCGACCTGGCAGGGAAGCTTATCATCCCACCTCCTGCCAGGAGTGGTGAACTGATTGCGAGCTCCAGAGTGATAGGAAGGATTGAAGAACCGGCGACAGCAGCAGAATTGTGAGTGGACAGTCTGGCCCCAGGGGGCCGGACCCTCATTATCGCCATCTGTGCAGGTGTATTCATATACAAATACCCCCATCTGGCTATTTAGGCAGGCCTTCCCTCCAGTCAGCTAAGTCTTTTTTTATTTCTTCTTTCCTTATCCTACCCCATCTTGGTAATCCTTTCTTAAATTAATTGTTTTTAACTAATATAGTAATTTTATTTTTTATGATTATATATATTTTATATTGATGTATTTTATGTTGTAAGCTGCCCCGAGTAGACATGGTCTAGAGGGACAGGGTATAAATTTAATAAATAAATAAATAAAATCTCTACTTACAACGCCTAACAGGATTGTCATTAATGCAGTTAACCAGTCACAAAGCATAGATTTATATCGATATGTGACAAATTCCTGTTTCTACCAAAATCCACGATTTTTGTTAGCCTGTGGAACTCCTTGCCACAGAATGTGGTGATGGCATCTGGCCTAGATGCCTTTAAAGGGGGATTTGACAGATTTCTGGAGGAAAAGTCTATCACAGGTTACAAACCATGATTGGGGATGTATAATATCCAGGCTTAAATGGAAGGTACCTCAAAATGACAGATACAAGGGAATGGTATCAGGAGACAGGGATCTAGTTGTGTCGTGTGCTCCCAGAGGCATCTGGTGGGGCCACTGTGAGATACAGTAAACTGGACTATATGGGCCCTTGGCTTGATCCAGCAGAGCCCATCTTATGTAAGATTGCCAAACTTATTTGCCAAGTGCCTCCTTCTTTCTGCAAGTTATAGTGTTCCTCTTTTGACCCTTCTAATTTTTTAGAAGTAACCACCTGTGATGCTTCTGAAAGCAGCTGATTTTACAGAAATCCTATAGTATAGAATTGTATTTTTGATCTTTAACTGTTACTCTCTCCTCAATTTTTAGGGAATGCCTGGTGTAATACAATCTGCATCTTCTAATGCCAGAGATGGGTGCTCTAGTGGTAAGCAAATATTGCATCATGCTGAGTTTTATTTGTTGATGTGTACTTTTTTGGCTGGTGAAAGTCATAATCCTTTGATATACATTGTTGGATGCTGTCTCCTATGAGAATTATTCAGATTTTGATATGTATCTAGAATTTGCCACAATGAAGACTGATGGAAATAATTATTGTAGCCTTTCTGCAATTTCCTTCTGCTCCTTCACTGCTTATTTGCTGCTTATTTCCTCCTTTTTGTTGTTTCATTGCCTTCCTAATTAGTTTGTGCTCCTGATATAAATCCAGTGGTCTATTATTTTCTAAAATAGCTTGAAACAAATTCATTTGCGGGAAAACAGCTCCCTCATTTTATAAGGTTACCGTATTTTTCCGTGTGTAAAAGGACATTTTTCCCTTAAATAATTTGAGAAAAAATTGAGGGTCGTTTTATACACAGAAGGCAGCTCTTTACCACTGCCTTTTGCAAAGGCATGGGGCTTAACAAAAAAGGAAGGGGAGGCATTGCTCCCTTCCTTTTTGCTAAGCTCCGTGCCTTCTCAAAAGGCAAGGGTGTGCAGGGCTTTATCAAAAAGGAAGGGGAGGCATTTCTTCCTTTTTGCTAAGCTCCGTGCCTTCTCAAAAGGCAAGGAAAAGCAGTAATCACTTTGACAGCCTTGTGGCGCAGTGGTTAAACTGCTGTACTGCAGCCAAAACTGTGTTCACAACCTGGGGTTCAATCCCAGGTAGTCAGCTCAAGGTTGACTCAGCGTTCTATCCTTCTGAGGTTGGTAAAATGAGTACCCAGCTTGCTGGAGGGGGGCAATGTGTAGCCTGCATAATTAACTTGTAAACCACCCAGAGAGTGCTTGAAGCACTATGGGGTGGTATATAAACAGCACATTTTTTCCTTGCCTTTTGCCAAGGCACAGGGCTTAGCAAAAAGGGAGCCATTCGATCCCTGCTTTTTCTAATTTGGGGTTAGAAAAGGGGGGGTGTTGTCTTATACATTGCATCATCTTATAAATGGAAAAATACAGTATCTTGTTTACCAAGAAACCAGATTGACTCTTTTGCTAGATTTGACCAGTAAAACCAGGATTTTCTGCTCCATCTCTTTGCCCTGTAATTTTTGGTTCATCAATGTTTACAATGAAATGGACCCCAATTGCTAGTCACATTTATTTCTCATGGAAATCAACTCATGGCTAGATTTTCACATTGCTTTTGTTGAGGCATAAATGTATGTGCTTCTGTTTAAACCATTATTTGTCCCTTGTTCAAACATTATTTTTTCAGTATTTGTCTTTTTCACATCTGATAGATAACTCTTAGTACCAAGAAATAAGTCCTGCTTCTATGAATGTATATTGTACACGTACAATTTGCATATATAGGCTTCAGTGTGTAAGATGTACTAGTTTTATGGCACAATGATCCCAATATTTGGCTAAATTTATGTCACTTTGTTTATTAGCAAGTTTGATAATCACAATTTGATTACTTTTCATTTATTTTAGATTCAAGTTCAGATTGGAGCCAAGGAGCGTATCATGCACCAAACCAAGGATCGGATACTGTATCAGAAGAACTAGGAGATGAAGGTGAAGCATCAACAGAATTTCTTCCGAAGAAAATAAAGGTAAGTAAGCGCTGTTCGGACTTTTAACTATAGAAAAATGATAATCTTGGCCAAGGACTCTTGTTACATCTTGCACAATGTCCCTGATCAAACTGATTCTTTTTTCTAGGGGGTCGCTTGGTTTGTTTTGATGACTGGAATTACCTGCTTTCTTCTGTCTATTAAGAATTAGTTCTATAATTTGTACCTGTAGTAATAATTTCCTTCATTTCTGGAAATGTTGCCACTGCACACACAGATTAACTGTGTGCATGATTATGAATCTCTTCATCACACACAATTCAGTCCCATACACAGGGGTGTTGATGTCAGGATAATTTGATATGCTGTGTTTAAAACAGAACTTAGAACAAATAATTTTTATGAGACTTCCCAAAATCCTCCTTTTTGCCCCCCAAAAAAGGAGTGGGTGTAAATAAGTGCTGATAAATAAGTGGGTGGGAGATTCTGGAAGTTGTTGTTTGATGAAGTAATGTTTTCAAGCTCTGCTTTTATCTGTGTACAGAAGGAAAGCAGCAAAATTTGCCATTGCTAATCTATGAGGTGCCAGTTGTATGTGTAGTAGTATGCATGGTTGTGTGCCTGGCATACATCCAGCATCTTGTCAATTAGTCATTGCAGCTTCTGCATATATTGCATTTACATGCCTTTCTAACTTTATTTGGGAGTTCGTCTAAGTTAATGTATAATGTACAGAGAAGAGACATGCCCCAGTATTGTGCTTTTTGCTTTCCAAGTAAGCAGGGAGGCACATTTCTGTAGCAGCCTGCTTTTTCTGCACATGGAGGTTCTTTGTGCAGTTTAAAATCTGAGAAGATTCTGGATCTGAATCACCTTAGGAACCTCCATGTGGTGAGGACAGGAATGGATAGATAGCCTGTTTCTAGATTGCTAGTTTCCTGTTCAATCTGCTTGAAATTTCATATTTATAGAAGTAATTTATATGCATTTTCTCTTGTAATATACTATTCTAGATGTTTTCATACTAAAATATGCAGTCCTGTGAGATTTGGTGTAGTTTTGAACCAAAGAACTTTATCACAAAATTTGAAGTGAAAAAAACGGAACATTAGTCTGCAATTTTTCTCACACACCAGTCTCCTTTTCTCTCCAACTCCCCCAGTTTCTCCACGTCTTTATATCCCACTCATGCACGCACACACACACACACCACACCACCTCCTCCATCATCAAAAGACCTATTGTGATGCACCTGAGAATGGTCCTGTGCTTTTATGCTTTGAAAGGTGTGACAGGATGTGGTTTGAAAAATAAACAACAAATGATGTGTTTATATAATAGCATTTGGCTTTTTTACAGGGATTGCTAAGAGCTATTCATCATGAAGGTGTACAGGTGTTGTCTCTCACACAATATCCCTACAATGAAACCGATGCACTCTCTCTTAAACAAGGGACAGAATCATGGCTGGAAGAACGTAAGGCTTTCTTGAGCATTGTTGCATCTTTGAAGAATTTAATTGCAAAAATGCAAATTCACAGAGATACGGAGGTAATCATAATTATAAAGTTGTTCATGTTTCATAGTCTCTATCTATATTATGCATAAATAAAAGATCAGGTCAACCAAAATGTACATTTTGTTTAACATGCTGACGTCACTACTTGATTTCTTTTGTTGCATTGTAGTTTTATGAGGGTTCAGAAGCTTCTGTCCCAGACTGGCGAACTGAACTTTTGTATGCCATTCAGCAAGTCTTCCAGAATGAAAAAGATGTTCTTCTGGCAGCCTTTCAAACTGAAATGTTTGAAGCAGGTGTTAGGGATGTAATGGGACTAATAGAACACCTGGAAAAGAGGCTTCAAGAGCAGGTGAGGTGTACTTATACATGCTAGAAAGAGTAATTATTTCATTTCATTTAAATGCCATCTTTCTCCCAAAATAAGAACCCAATGCAGTTTACAATGCAGTTTTAAAAATGATAGAAAATTGAAACAGTAAAAGTATAAACATTAAAGTTGAAATCAAACACTGTGTTATTAAAATATAATTTAAATTAAAACATGTTAAAATCTCTTGATTAAAATACAAATGCTAGTTTGCCTTTAAAAAGAAGAAACCAGCATGTTAGCTAATATTGTATGATTTGGTTCTTAATTGCCAAAGTCTTACCTGAATAAAATGATCTTTGCTTTCCAACAGGAGATTAGTGGTGGTAGGTCTAGCCTGTCTTGGCAAAGAGTTCCAGAGCCTGGAAACAGCCATAGAGATGGCCGGCTCTCGAGTCCTCTCCAGCCAGCTCTCTAAAGGTGGTGGGACCCTGAAAAGCACCACTTGAGCAGATTTTGGGGTGTGGGGGGGCTTGTATTGCTAATTCCAGATAGCCTGGACCCATCTTGCATAGTGTTTTGTAAGTCATGACCAGCTCTTTGAATTGTGTCAGAAGCAGACCAGTAGCCAGTGAAGCTGGTGTAGGAAAGGAAGGTTATGTTTCCTATAGCTGTCCTAGTCAGCATTCTGGCTGCACTGTTTGGGTTAACTGAAATTTCTTTGACTGCTCTTCAAAGGAAGCTCCGTGTAACTATGATATATGTATCGTAGCTAAGTCAAAAATCTCCAGGAACAGCTGCAACTGGTACACCAGTGTTAATTCTACAGATGCACTCCTGGCCACCTCTGAGTCGTGAACAATCATGCTTTATTTCTTCAAAATGTAAAGCATTTTTCCATTGTGGGCACATCAATAATTTCTTTACAGTGGTGCCTCGCTTAACGAAGATAATCTGTTCCAAGAAAATCGCCATTAAGCAAAAACATCGTAAAGTGAAAATAAAAATCCCATTGAAACGCATTGCAACCCGTTCAATGCATAACATCAATAATTTCTTTACTTTGAATTATATACTGTATTGGGAAGTAGTTCTTGAAAAGCATGCTAAAGAGATTGAATAATATTATTGCTATGGTGCTGTTATGCAGTGTTTTATTTAAACACATGTTGAAGGCCTGGTACCAAAGAACACCAAACAAAAAGAGAAAATGAGAAAGGTTTGTTGATAATATGTTAACAAAATACTATATGTACTGGCCTAAATCCAGTTGATAGTCTCAACCATTGTTGCCCTCTAGAATCAGAGGAATTTACATAAATGTTCCGTTCAATGCGTTCCAGTGGGGTAAAAACTCACCGTCCAGCGAAGATCCTCCATATGACAGCCATTTTCGCTGCCTGTATAGCGAGGAATCCATCCCTAAACACAGCAGGGAGCCATTTTTATTACCCGGTGGCCATTTTGAAACTGCCGATCAGCTGTTTAAAAAGCATCGTTTTGCAAAGAATCGGTTCCCGGAGTAGGGAATCGATCATCACAAAGCAAAATTCCCCCATTTAGACCATTGTTTTGCGATCGCAAAAAGTTTGTCGTAAAGTGGATTCGTCGTAATCCGGGGCAATCGTAAAGCGAGGCACCACTGTACTTTGAATTATATATTGGGAAGTAGTTCTGGAAAAGCGTGCTAAAGAGATTGAATAATATTATTGCTATGGTGCTGGTTATGCTATGTTTTATTTAAACACATGTTGAAGGCCTGGTACCAAAGAACACCAAACAAAAAGAGAAAATGAGAAAGGTTTGTTGATAATATGTTAACAAAATACTATATGTACTGGCCTAAATCCAGTTGATAGTCTCAACCATTGTTGCCCTCTAGAATCAGAGGAATTTACATAAATGTTTACCAGCCAGCAGTTGACTGGTAAATAGGATTACACTAGTTAAGACTAAGGCCTTTTCATTGTTTCCCCTTCTTTGGCAAAATACAGACAATTGTATCAATTCTAAGAGTCAGTACTTGCTAAAATATATCTTCTGTGTGGTGATACTGTAGACAAAAAAGGAGAGAGAAAACCTCAGGAAATCAACAGTTTGATGGTCCCATTCCTGTGTTAATGAAGCATCGCCACTTTCTTTATTGAAAGCTCACATTGAAATAAATATTCCTCTTTAAAGTGTTACAGTATTTTGCCTCTCTTTCTCTCCTCTACCAGCTTGCTGAGCTAGAACAACATGGCTATTTCTTTGAAAATTGTTTTTGATACAGTATTAAACTCTGTTTTTCATTTCTAATTAATAACAGGGTAAATATCAGAAAATAGCTGTGGAGTGCATTCAGAATGCAGACAGAAGAAGTTTGTTAATGGAAATCAATCTATTACGCACTCAGTTAAACAACAGCAGAACTGATCCAAAGGGTGAGCTGGAAACTGAGCCAAAATGTCAAGGTAATATATGATCTTTACTTTGCAGTATGTGCTTGCATATTTATCAATATGTGCAAGTATGGGTGCTTTCTAGACTCATAAGTTTTAAATAAAAAGTATAATTATTAGTACATCTGTGTAATACTGTACATTGTATGTCTGCACACAGTCCAGATTTTAGTTCAATGCTCTCAGGCAGTTGTAACCAGGAAAAAAAATCTCTATCTGAGATTAGAAGAACTGCTGCTAATCTAAGACATTACTGAACTAGAACTGTACTGCAGTTCATTTTAAAATTGTTCTTATACAGTTGATAGGGTCTACAAGTCCAGCTGGAAAGCAATGCTTATATTGCCAAGGACATAGATTAAAGCTGTATGGTGAATGTTTTGTTCATTTAGGGCCTCTACCTCAGAGAAGAAGGTGCACCAGTGGTATAAAATGCCAGACCCAATCCCTGCCATCTGATTTTAAAGAAATATGAGGTGGGAGGGCTAAGAAACGTTCCTGTCTAAGATATTGAAGAAGGCTGCCAATTACAGTAGAAGATACTATTTCAGATGACTGAAGTTTATCCTAGGCTAGGAAATAATTATAATTGAATTAACTCTTCAATGCTAATGGTATCCCTTCATGAAGAAAATCAGGCTACCTCCAAGCCTGATTATCTTCTCTTATTGTTGAAGTTGACTATGTTCAATAAGTACTGTAATTGTCCTACTTCAGCTGTTTGTTCAAGCTTTGCTTCATCATGGAGGATTAGTGTTTAATATATTCGCGAACGCTTTCACCGCGGGGATCTAAAAGAGCCCGAAAAACCCACAACAACAATTAGTGTTTACATTCATTGAAGTAAAGGGTAGTCGTGTGGTCAAAACAAAATAAAATCCAAAGACCTATTTTTACATTTTGAATTTGTTCACAATCCGTTCCTTAATTTTTGAGTAATGCTTTATAGAATTGATGGGGTACAACATGGAGATGCAAATAGAGCTCAGTAATACAAAGGAGAAAGCAGTTGAACTTCAGGAACAGCTAAATTCTGAGAGAATGATGGTTGCAGAACTGAAGAATGAACTTGGCCAAATGAAGCTAGAACTGGAAACAACTCTGAAAGCACAACATAAACACTTAAGAGATCTAGAAGCCATCAGGTGAGGTTTGCAGTATCTGTTTCTTACAGACTTAAAGGCGTTTTAAATCACCATTAATAGTTTAGTTCAAACCCAAAGTAGTCCCATTATAGTTAATATAGTGTAGAGTTAATTGTTTTAGTCTAGTTATTTTAATTAAATTTGTCTATTGTATTTTGATGACATTTCAGACTGAAATTACGCTAGAGAAGATTATATTAACTGATGAAATAGCAGTAACTCTGGCTTTTTTGTTTCATTAGGCAACAATTTTCTAAAGCTGAATAATAATTTGGCGCTTGAATTAATCATCAACAGAGTAGCACAAGCCCAAACAGCCAGAACAGAAATCTAGTAGCGTTTTGTGAAAAGCTCTATCAGCAGAGTGACCTCTGATCAACTGAAAGGGAAAATTAATAGGAAGGAAGGGTTGAGTACTATTTCTCATCCACTAATTCTCTTATAGATACACCAAAACATGTTTACTATTAGGAGGCAACTGTAAGTTGAGAAACTTGTGTTTGTCTTGTAAATACATCATTTTGCCTCAACATTTGCATTGTAATGTATGCTTTGTGTACAGACAAATGTAAATACATTCTCCATAGCTGTCTGTTTTTGAAATAAAACTTATTTTAAAAATTGGGAAGTTCATAAAGGCGAGTTTGACTTGGTCTTTGACAGAAATGAACTAAAGGGAAAAGCAGCTGAACTTGATATACTAAAGGACACAGTGGCAAGTGAGCAAAAGAAATCCAGAGAACTTCAGTGGGCATTGGAGAAGGAGAAGACTAAGGTAGAACGCAGTGAAGAAAGAGGAAAAGAAGAACTTGAGGTAACCAGTCCTAGTTTTTAAAATATTCTGAGCATACAGCCATTATATGATCCAGATTTTAGATATTTATCTTTTGTTTCTGCTTTTGATTTAGTTAAATGTATGATGCATTGTAGAGATGCTGGATTAGATGTTGCTGCTCTCCATAGCAAAGTACTATAATGTATATTATTATTCTTAACTCAGAGCCAGTCTACCTTTTCTAATTATTTCACTGACTTGAACTGGATACAGTTTATCTGACATGATCTCTGGTGAAGCAGTGATATGTGAAACCATAAGCATATGTAGTTTGGTGGTTTGTACTTTATATTACACATAGTCACATCCTCTTCATCTAAGGGAAATAGGAAACTGTCATATTCCAAGATAGACTGACCTTCTAGCCCAGTGACTTGCAGCGTTTCTCAAAAGACATGTCCGAAATCTGTCCAAGGGCTTATGTACCATCTGCTCTCTTAGCCACTTGAAGTGCCAGGTGACCTGTGAGCATCTGGGGGCAAAGCATATGATTCACTACTGATCTGTGGGCTCTTCATGTTGGACTATATTCTTTTAAGATGCGAAATATATGTGAAATATTCCCTACTTTGGTCCACACAGTTGTCAGAACTACCTCAATAGTTGTGACTACTGGAATCATTTTGAGAGGATTTTTAAATGGGTTATTGCATTATGTTGTTTTACTTGTATTTTTAATATTGCTCCTATTTATAAATCTTAATATATTTGTCTAATTCTTTTTTAATATTGTCATAATTTATTATTTTAGCTTTTAACTTTTTTAATACTGTAAGATGCCTTGGATCCAGTCTAGGATAAAGGCAGCATATAAATATTTTAAATAAATTAGATTACAGTGGTACCTCAGTTTACAAACAGCTCGGTTAACGCAATTTTCAGTTTACGAACGAAAAGCCATTGAAAATAATGCCTCAGTTTACAAATTTTTTCCACAATACGAACCAAGTTTGCATTGTGCCTGGGAGGTTTATAGCACTGCCCCTGTGCATGCGCTCCTATGGGAAACTGTGTTTCGGTTTTGCAAACTTTTCGCATTACGAAATGTCCCAGAGAAATGTTCATTAACTGAGGTACCACTACACCAGAAATATATTGTGAGCAGTGCCACCTATAGGTCGGCATCAGAAATGGTGTAAAGTTATAATTTTCAGTCTTGATCTACAAATCATCACTTAGGTTAGATACATACCAGTTCTAGATTTTATGTTTGACGAGGGGGAGCAGTTATTGAGCAAATTCTCATTAATTTAGAATCCTTGTTAGCAAAGCACATGTTTTCCCTTGTTCAGGTATCAAATAACCATTTTTTTCCCAGCATAATAACTTTTTAAAAAGTTCTAGCTGTACATTCAGACTTATGAAAGCAAATCACTTTTTGTATTTTCTGGTAAGGATTTGAAATATGCTCTTGAAACGGAACAACAGAAAGTTAAAGAGCTGAGCAATCTTTTGGAGCTTGAAAGAGAGCTGTCCAATGATTTGCAAAAGAAGATTGAGTCCCAAGAAGCCCTGAATGCAGCCCAGCTGTCACAGGAGCGCAGCTGCAACTCTGAGCTTCAGGTGCTCCTTGAATCGGAAAGATACAGAGTTCTGGAAGTAAGCAGTGCACTAGAAAGAGAGAAAGAACTGTGTGCTCAACTTCAGACAGCTGAACAGAAAATACAGGACGGAACTCTCACAACAGCTGAAGAATTACTCCGGGAGCTGCAAAAGCAACTGGATGAAAAACATGACCGTATTGTCTCCTTAGTTAGTGAAACAGAGAGATATAAATTGGAATCTGTGCAATTAAAACAAGAAATGGAGAAGGAGAGGCAGATTCAGAGGAAGACTCTACAGACAGAACAAGATGCTAATATCCTGGCACAGAAGAAAGTTCATGAACTGGAGTCCAAGGTAGAAGATCTTCAGTGGCAGCTTGGAGAACAGAGACGACAAGTTCACCAGCTGCAATGCGAGGGCAAAAAATGGCAAGAAATGGTCCAGGAACTACAGCAAAAGGACCAAGTAAAAGAGGAGAATACTGCCTGTAAGAATCTGAACGAGGTATGGTAGCTCCCAGAGGCTTATATAACATGGTAAAGGTGTCGTTATAAGTGAATAAAATCATACCTTTTTTTCCAGAGCAGTTTTCTAAAACAGTCCCTGCTTAGTGGTAGTTATTCCCACTATATTTATTTATTGCATTTGTTTTTATTTCTGTGTTGCCCTTCCCCCCCAAATCATCAACACAATGCATAATAAATCTAAATAAAAACAATGAATCTAAATAAAAACAATGAGGTTATCATGACCAAAATTTATGCGTAAAAAAAATAAAAGCAGTAAAAGGCTAAGTTGTTGAAGTGTATCTTATCACCTCACCTATAAGTCATGCATATGGGAATAAGTTGGAATTTTAGAATCTTTTCCTTCCATAATGTGAGAGGGACACAGGGGAAATCATTTCCCTGTGTGCTTGGCACATAATCTTCTACAGGCTTATATAGCGGGTACAGTGGGGTCTTGACTTGAGAACTTAATCCGTATTGGAAGGCGGTTCTCAAGTCAAAAAGTTCTCAAGTCAAATCTGCATTTCCCATAGGAATGCAATGAAAACCATTTGATCCGTATCTGCTCTTTTCCGCCCATAGAAACTAATGGGAAGCTGCTATTCCGCCTTCGACCACTAAAGGGGGATATTTTGTTTCTTTTTTTCTTAGGTCAAGAAAGGTTCAGGGAAGGCAGGGAAAATACAGTCCAGGCAGTACAGTACCAGGCAGTCCGAAGACTGTCTCCCAGTCCACTCTCTAAATGCTGGGAGGAGTGAGGAAGCAGACAGGCACCCTTTTCACTGGCCAACAGTTAACTGAAAGTTCTAATTTTGCACTTTCCCTGCCTCCCACATGTTTTTTTTTAGTTCTTAACTCAAATCTAAGTATGTAAGTCAAGTCAATATTTTCCTATGAGAGCGGTTCTTAAGTCAAAATGTTCTTAACTCAAGTCGTTCTTAAGTCAAGACCCCACTGTAAATCCACAAATGCAGGAATCTTTCACAGAGGTTATATGCAGTATATGTACAGAATTGACAGAGTAGTGGTTCATCACTAGTTGAGCGGGGTATAAGTTTAATAAATAAATATTTTAGTTGAAAACACTGATAATTGAAGTATAGGTTTCATTTTCTAATAAGTGTTGCAGTAGGTGAACACTGAGGCAGGGCTTGGGAAGCTAAGGGCAATAGGGCATCCTTCAATTCATTGGCAAAAGTTGCCTCACACAAGGGGCATAATGGATTGTTTTAGTCTGGTTTCAAGAGGAAGAGGAAGAAATGAAGTCAACACAGATGCATCACCTTGCTTCAGGAAACCAGATGATGCCAGGAGCAATGGCTTCCTTTCTTAAGACTCTCATTCTTTGTGGATAGAAAGGAACTGTTACTCTGGAAGTAGAATTCCACTAACACTTCCCCAAAGTACTTGTCCATAAAGCTGTCTGCTTCTGGGATTCTCATTTGCTCTGCCATGAAGGAATAAAGCTTTCCCTGATAGGCAGGAGTGCTCAGTGCAATGACTATGAATCCACGCAGGCAGCTAGGCATACATGTGGCATTCACTGCAATACTGTATATAGTCTTTCAGCTTTCCTATTTGGAGGATTGTTCATTTGGGGATTTGCAGAACCAAAAAGCGACAGGTAGGAGGACACCATGACTGCTTGCCCTAGTCTCCTCACTCTCTTGCTTCACTTGGTCTACTTACTGGTTCTGTCAATAATTTGAACTGGGAACTGAGACAGTCAGTTTGGGCTTCTTTTACAAGATTATACATCTGGGGTCCCTCAAAGAACAGTTTTATGTAGTCCTAGTTATCTCTATCTGAGGCCAAGAAGATTAGGAGGATTTTTATTTTATTTTCATTTTATTAGTTACTTAATTTTTTAATTTGAATTTATAGTCTGCTCTTCTACTGCAACTGTGGCTTATTGGCTAGAAATCTTCCAAATATAAGATGAAAATTTACAAAGCCAATTGCAACAAATGACAACATATGAAATTTATTATTTCTAATCAAAACAGAAAAATATTTTAGCACAGAAATATTTTGGAAAGACTTGACTTTCTAGAACAGATAGAAACTGTGTTTGGGCCAAATGGTGTTATCTCCATGCCTTTGTTATACTTCTTCTACATAGACATAAAATAAATGTTTTAAAAATAATGTGTTATTTGATAAATAGGTTTGGCTTACAGAAAGTGTAAATTGATGCCATAAATCTGTGAATTTCTTTTCTAAAAATTATAACTAGTAGGTAGTTTTTATTCATTTATCCATCCATTCAATCCATTAGTTTAATTCAAAACTGAATGTCCATATGTAACATAAGACAAGCTTTTTCCTCCTTTGCCTACTTTACACAGAATACATGGGATGCATCTAATGAGCGAACAAGAAAATGGGTTTTCCAGCAGAAAATGGGAGGAGCTGAGCCAACAGAACTGTCTTACTCTGCCCTAATTGGCATGGGAGGAGGAGGAGGAGATTCTACCAAAGAATACCAAGATTTTCAGATGATTAGACAGAAGCTGAAAAATGCTTCTTCCAAGCTGAAACAGCTAGCTAACAAAGCTGCCTGCAGGTTAGATTAATTTCTTGCTATCAGGGCCTACCATCTCAGCATTTTTTCCACTGTTTGCAGAAATGAATGACCTGATCATTAAGGTGGTTTTAAGATGAATCAGATTACTAGAATTATAGAGTTCTATTAATTATGTTTACATTGAGACAAACAAACACCTTTTTCTTTCGCCAATATATTCTTGTCTTTCTGATTGGTATTATAAAATGGTATCTTTTGCAATTCAGGCCATTCTGAACAGAAACTTTGTCTAGCAATTAAAGCTGTCCAGAATTTATAACCTGCTGCTGTTACCTGAGGATCTGAACATTCTGGCAGGGTGGATTTAATCGATTTAAATCACAGTTTAAATCATTAGTCAATAAGACATTTAAATCATGATTTTCAAATGTGAAGACTCATTCTTTCTGGTTAATTGTAATTTTAATATTTGCAACCAGATGAAGATTTCATATTGAGAATAATAACTGGTCAGATTAGTAAAATAGCTGTGTCAGAACAGATTTTAGTTTAATAGGCTAATCACTCATATTTGGAAAACTACTTAAATTGTTCTATGTAACTAAAACAATAACATTATATAGCATACATATTCTTGTATTTGCTTAAATATCAATGTGTTCATTATTTGTACATAGATCTGTTGAAAAACAATGGGATTAAGGTCTTTTCCTGAACTTTGTTCATTTTATACCATTTCAGTGTGAAAAATGCCATTTTTGTGTGAAAAATGCATGTTATCTCAGCTTGATTAACTTGGATTAACTGGATTAGTTTACAAAAAATGTAAATATTGCATAAATATACAGCTTCATGTTACATAACTAAGTTCTCTATCATGCTGAATAACCTTTGAATTATAATGTATCTTAAATAGAAACATTTATTTGATAGATTTTTCCTCTAAAAGCATTTAACTGAAATAAATTTGATTGAATAAAAAATCTGATTTTAATTTAAAAAATCAGATTTTTTTAATTGAAAAAAAATCATTGTGTTTAATCCACCCTGCATTCTGGAATGAGAGGTATTCCCTCTCTTTAAACCTAAGTGACATGGCTTCCCTGGAGAATCTTCCCTGTATTGAATGTATGAAGTTGTCTCATATACCAGGTAGAACTGTTGATTCATCTAGCCCAGCGTTGCCCTCTCTGGCTGACAATAGCTTTCCAGAGTATCAAGCCAATACACATAGGGCATACTTGGATGTCATAGCAAGCCAGTATAAAAAAAAAATTATACATTTGCCAGTGTGCGATGCTGGTTAGTTGCTCTTGTTACAGGTAAGACAGGGTTGCTGTTTTTTTAAAAAACAACAGCAACCCATAAACCTTCTGTTTCTAGTTTATTTAGTGATGGTGCCACACTAAATGGGGGAGTGGGAAAAGCAGTATGTCAGAGAAATAGCCCGTAGTTTGTCTGAGAGTTATTTTTCTGGTTTGATGGGAAGAGGCAAGCCAGAGTGCTGGTTGTGTACCAAACAAATAATAGAAAAGAAGGTGATTTCTTTAGTTGCTACCAGTAAAACCAAGAATAATCAGGAAGAATTTTGGCTAATTGTTCAATGCAAGCACATACTGTTTCCCTACACACACATCATGTTTTTATTCATACTACTTAAGCCAGTTATAGACCAATCAACAAACGGACAAAAATCACAAACCAAATTAATATATACATAGGTATGTTTTAAAAAAGATTCTGTCTTTTGAGATTAACACAACTGAATAAATGAAATGAGTCAAGTTTTCCCACAACTAAGCTCTTGTCCTTATTGCAACAGAAAGGAGCTTTGCTATTCAGCAAAGTAGCAGAGGGATTTGTATCTGATAAACAGTGAGATGATTTGATTTATTCCAGATTACCATTTGAACAACCAGATGATGAAGACTTTGTTCGGATACAAAATAACATTGAAGAAGTTCTTGTACAGCTGCAAACACTATCTAGTTTGCCCAGTTTGGAAACAGAGGTGCGTATATAGTAGGAGATATTCGTATATGATACTTCTGATACAGAAATCCATATTATATATGTATTAAATTAGCTATCTTAAGTTGGCTAAATGTATTGCATGGAACCCAGAATTCTGCTGTCAGAGCTTAGATATTGTTCCATTTTCATAACCCTTATCAAGCCCTGAGGGGCATAACACTCAGAGCGTTAAGTACATAAATGCATCCTATTATTGTATGTTTCTTAAAATACTTTATCTTAACTTCCTGCCTTGGTATGAAGCTCTCAAGGTAGCTCAGAACAAATTAAAGTAATAAACTAATAATATTTTCATTTTTAAAAATCAGATTATGTAAAGAACCTGTTATTATAAAGAAGCAGAATTGTTTGTAATAAACGTTTTCTGTGAAAGACTTCTTCCATACTGTAAACAAGCATTATCTTTTTGAGGTTTGATTTTTTTTGTTCTGTTTTTGAGAGAAAGTAGTAATATTATCCTGAAGCTATGATGTTCTTTAGGATATCATATATTATTCTCATTGAGCTGTTTTCCTTTCTAGATGAATTCAGATTTGACATCCTCTGCTTCATTGACTGGAAGATTACTTAAGCAGAATGCTGAACTGACAGGGTTGGTCAGCAGACTGAGTGAAGAAAAGAACAATTTAAGAAATGCAGTCATGAAACTTGAGGAAGAACTTAGAAGATGCCAGCAGAGAGGACCCTGTGGAGACTCTGTATGTTTGTTCTTATCTTGAATACAAAGATTATTTTAGACTATATTAAGAACCCATTTCTCTGGAAAAGTGCAGATGTATGATTTCCTGCTTCACAGGAGGTTAGATTCAGTAACCCTTAAGGTCTCTTTCAGCACAATAATTCTATGATTCTATGTATGTCTTAAGCCTGCGGAATTAATTGTCTATTTTGTAGCTTAGGGCAATGCTACAAATAAGGCTAAAATTCATAGATTTACCCTTTACTGTAAATTTTTTAAAAAAATACATAGTAAATGTAGCATTTAGCTCTTTTCTGTCCTCTTTTGATACCAAGGGACACCCTTCTTTAAAAGTCATAGTTGTGTTAGCAGGAAGCTTCCAACAGACATCAGTGGGAGTGTTTTCATAAGCCAAATACCAATGTCAGAGAAGATGTTTTCCTCAGGATATGGGCAGGAGAGGAGAGAGTACAGATCATTCTCCATACTGACAGCGTAACTGATCAACTAATGTTATATGGACATATCTAACATGACATGGAATTTGGCACTTAGTAGCCATAGTACAGTGCACACTTACTTTAAGAATCGATCCCCTGTAACACAAGATATACTGTAAAATAAACACATATAGGATTGCACTGTCAGAAATGAAAGCTGCTATCATCTGATTGTCCACCTAGGATTGCAGCAAACTTTACAATTTAAGATATATTACTCCAACACAGGAAAGAATCTTGGTAATAATTTGTTCTGTGGAGAAAGCTGTCTGAAAAGGAAACAAGGCAGCTGTATATCAGAGTCTCTGTTTTTGGTCTAAACCAGGGGTGCCCAATCTTTCACCTTCCCTGGGCCACATTAGAAGATGAAAATTTGGTTTGGGCTGCACATAAATTTGGTTTGGGCCGCAGCCATCCTCCGCAGCCCCGCTCCAAGCGTGCTTACCAGCAGCTGCGATCTCAGACAACAGAGTCTGCCAGCTTCGACTCCGGCGGCTTTATGCGGCCGGGAGGGGGTCCACCTATTGACAGGGATGGCGCAATGGGGATGGCCCCTCTCCTCTCCCCTCCCACTCCTTCCTTCCTTCCCTCTCTCCCCCCCTACCGTTGTGAAGTGCCCTGGCCACATTCCGGCCGCAAGCGGCGGCAGTGTAACTTGAAACTTTGGAATTTCTTTAAAAGTAAAAAATTGCACTGGGCCGCATTACGAGCCGACCTGGGCCGCATGCAGCCTGCGGGCTGGACAAGCCTGGTCTAAACAGACATAAATAACCCCATTCATACATACCTGTTAACAGAGATTTTAACTATACTTGAAAAGAAAGACCAAGAAACTACTTGCTACTGTTACACAAACCAGAGGATTACCACCATAAATTTAATTCTCAGAACCAAAGAGTAACCTTGTTGATGTTTACAAAGATGTATGATATAGATACAATACAATGTAAGTTAAGTACAAGTTAAGTAATTGCAGCTTACTGTGTACCATTTTACTGACATAAAAGATAAGTCTCTCTGTTGAAACCAGAGACAATGGTCCTGGCAATACTACCAGAAAATCTGGAAAAGTCCACACAAGAACTGTTTAATTATAAGCTAACAGCAGCCAGGGCAATATTGGTTAAGAACTGGGAAAGAGAGACATGCCCATTAGCAGAGGATTGGAGAGAAAAAAATGACTGAATATGCTACAGTAGGTAGTTACAAGCTGTATAAACCAAAGACCTATCAAAGAATTTGAAAAAAAAGGGGGAAATTATTTTGATTATTTAAACAGATAGTGCAGAAATAATGTTGTAAACATTCTTGTAAATAGGAGAACAGCTGTGGACTAAGAATGAGATAGAATTTAGGATGAGAAGAACATATATTTAGAAAGGTCAAGTAAATCTAAAGCATAGAATAGTATGTTTTGTATTAAATGTAGAGTATAATTTATGTATACAAATGTCAGGTGCTCTTGATATCCTTTGTATGTAAACTCCAGTTTTATTTTTATTTTTATATCTTAATAATAAAATTCTTTAAAATGATTTTTTTTAAAGATAATTCTCTCTGTTCAGAGTAGGTCCTTTTCAAGCCTTTGTAGCCAAGCCAAGTAGCCTGACTGAATTGAATAACCACTGAACTAACTGGGTTTTCTTTCTGTATTCCTCCTTCAACTTCATAAGACTTTCAGACTGTCACCACACAATGGAGGAAACATTGATGAGCTCATTGCTTCTGAAAGAGAGATCTGGAACAAAGAGAAACTAAATCTGCAACACTCTCTAAAGCAAGCTGAGGCAGAGCTGAGCAAGCTGAGGGCAGAATTAAGGAATGAAGCTTTTCTGAGAGAATTGGGATCAGATTCAGAAAATGCTGCTTTAAAGGTAGGAAGCATTTCAGTTACTTCTCCTGGGAAATTTTGTTTTTGTTCTTTTAATTAAGGATTGTCATTAAGGATTTTTGTTATTAAAGTTTTGCTCCTTGCAATAATTGAGAGTGAAGCTGTTCTGAATTTAAAATATTATTTAGTTGTCTCTGTAGGTTTTACCCCATCTTCCATTCAACAGCTTCCTTTTTCTTTTTTTAATGTTTGCTTTTAGTTTGAATAAATTGAATGGAAAAATAAATTCCCTATATCTGGTCCAAGTTCCTTAGGAAAGGATCCTGTAGCAAGCAAAGCCTTTCCCTCTTTGTAGTTCATGGTTGAAGCTGTAGCTGCTGAAATTGTGCTGTAGACAGCACAAGCTGCACAGTCTAGAGGGGTTGGAATGAATTACAAACACATACAAACACCAGGCCTTATGGACAGTATTGTTTCTTAATGTATTGTTTAATTTCCTTGTATTCTAGAGAATTTATGGCAGATATTTGAGAGCAGAGAGCTTTCGTAAAGCCCTGATATATCAGAAGAAATACCTGCTGCTCTTACTGGGTGGCTTTCAGGAGTGTGAAGAAGCTACCTTATCTCTTATTGCAAGAATGGGTGGGCAGCCTTCCTATACAGATCTAGAGGTTATTACACACCGTTCAAAAGGTTTTACACGGTTTCGCTCAGCAGTTCGAGTGCTAATTGCAATTTCAAGGTAAAGTACAAAACATGTGTTTGAATAAAGCATAGCAAATGTAATGCTACATGAAGATGATGAAACAAGACACCTGCATTTTAAACCTAAGCTCTCCAGGCAGCTGCAAAACTATTCATCAAAATATATAAATAAGGCACAGAACACAGATATAGATTGTGTATTATGTGTTTCATTTCAGCAAGATATAATCTGTGCTGTACAAATCCTTATGTCCTATAATGTTTATGTTGTGGCTTTCCGCTAAAATCCACCAACAATAAGTACAATAAGATACATGGCCTTGTAAAAAAGTGTGTGTAATGGTTTGTTATCCTCATCCCCTGTATGTTGTTCATTTTACACTGCCCCATCCTTACATTTCTTTATGGTTTTGTCTTTATATCAATAGACAAAATTGCATTTTAATGTGTTAATCAAATCCATATTTGCATATAATTTCATGTATGTACATGGAATTCTAAATATGTTGTTTGAAGGAGAAATGAATGGAGAATCTTTCTATTTTAAAATGCAGAATGAAATTCCTGGTTCATCGGTGGCATCGGGTTACTGGTTATAATTTGATAGGTATCAGCAGAGACAGTTTTGGCCACAATACAGGTAAATATATGTTGATGGTAAATATAAACTAGTGTACTGCATTCACCAAAGTTAGCAAAGCTAACTTTTTTCTATATCCCATGACCAGGGCTGAAGCCAGACTCTGGCTCTAGGTAAGTGGTTCCCAATTTTGGGTAACCTAGGTGTTCTTGAATTGTAACTCTCAGAAACGTCTGCTAACACAGTTAGTGGTGAAGCCTTCTAGGAGCTGAGTCACAAAGGACTCTTGACTGGTTTTCTGGTGGAGCAGACTCTTGTCAGAATCTCCTGACCACTCAGGAAAGCTGTGCTGTGCAATTCCACATAGGTGAGGGCAAAGAGTTAATTTTTTCCTGCTATCATTGGCACAGGGAAGGCTTTCTAATGAGCTGTAGCCCAGGTTTGGTCACAATTGCCTTGAGTTTTGCAGTCAGTCTCTGTCCAACATGTTTCATCACTGGCAACTGTATGGAAAATCAATTTAACTTGGCTCCACTCTGTGGACTGTGATACTTAGGAATGATCATTCCCCCGCCTCAACTATTTCCCTATTCCAGAGGTAGACCAAAGTCTCAACAGAATTGCTTGCCAAGGTGACAGGATACTCCCCAGCTATCAGGATACTGTCCTGATCTATCATCCTGAGCTGGACCATCTTAATCAGCCCTCAACTCTGATGGGGCTACATGTTCCAGCAATCTGAAACCCGCCAAGTAGTCCCATCATTCTCTTACAATCCATCATGAAAATGGAACTGAAGAAAATCCCTCCAGCTCACTACCATCCTACCTAGCACAGAAAACCAGATTCACAGTGGGGCCAGATACCATTTGGGACACACACATTCCCAATTAAGTGGTTTCAGTATAGCTGTTAAAGTTTCCTGGCACAGCAAGCCAAGGGGACTCCAGCACTAACCCCAAGACCAGTTCAGATAGCTAGAGAAAGGAGACCGTTTTGCAGTGGATGCAGTACACCAACAGAATACCTATTCTATCACAAGTACCTACTTTCAAATATACACCCTTGAGCCCAATAAAACTTGGAACTGGACACCAAGTATGGGGCATAGAATCACATGACAGACCGTGACAACCTCATTTCCCACCAACGTACCCTCTAATTTTTAGTCCTGCTGGTATATAGCTGGTATATAGAACTGAACTTTTTATCTGCCATCCTCAGTAAAAATGTATTTTATTTGTATTTATGTAGGTAATGAACTACGGCCTGATTCATTATCTGGAGGCCTGGAGTTCTATGGAGAACACAGACAGTCTTCATACAGATCAAGGTCAGAGCTGGAATCTCTCAGGTCTCCTCTATGTTTTCAACCGAGGTAAATTTCTTGTTCTTTGTCTCTGTGCCAATGATCTCAACTGTTAAAGGAAAGTGTGGACACTGGGATGATCTAGTAAACCACAAATTGGAACCTTTGCCATCATTATATATGATTCTTCATTTTGGCTCTGGTTTGAATTTGTAAAATGGTGTGTTTCTGTAGGTCATTTATGTCTGAGAAAGTGGACGATCAAAAAAACTTACATTTAGTTTTTAAGGTGCCACAATGTTTTTGTCTCTTTGTTTTGTTTTTATCTGATATACATAGTTGCCTGCAGGACACACATTTTAAATACTTTATCAACCGTCCCGTTGCGCGGGCAAGTTTTAACCCTTTCATGTCCTCTTCTAAGTCCCTGGTGTCTACCCCCTTGCTTAGGGTGAGGGTTCCGCCGCACTCTGCCCCCCAATCAGGGGTTTCCACTCCTTTCTCCTCCCGTCGCGGTGGGGATGGTGGGGGGGAAGTCTGGGTCTGGCTGCTATTCTTCGAGAGCAGCGGCACTCCAACCATGGCTTCCACCTTGGGAGCCTCACATACCTACTTTCAAATATACACCCTTGAGCCCAATAAAACTTGGAACTGGACACCAAGTATGGGGCATAGAATCACATGACAGACCGTGACAACCTCATTTCCCACCAACGTACCCTCTAATTTTTAGTCCTGCTGGTATATAGCTGGTATATAGAACTGAACTTTTTATCTGCCATCCTCAGTAAAAATGTATTTTATTTGTATTTATGTAGGTAATGAACTACGGCCTGATTCATTATCTGGAGGCCTGGAGTTCTATGGAGAACACAGACAGTCTTCATACAGATCAAGGTCAGAGCTGGAATCTCTCAGGTCTCCTCTATGTTTTCAACCGAGGTAAATTTCTTGTTCTTTGTCTCTGTGCCAATGATCTCAACTGTTAAAGGAAAGTGTGGACACTGGGATGATCTAGTAAACCACAAATTGGAACCTTTGCCATCATTATATATGATTCTTCATTTTGGCTCTGGTTTGAATTTGTAAAATGGTGTGTTTCTGTAGGTCATTTATGTCTGAGAAAGTGGACGATCAAAAAAACTTACATTTAGTTTTTAAGGTGCCACAGTGTTTTCGTCTTTGTTTTGTTTTTATCTGATATACATAGTTGCCTGCAGGACACACATTTTAAATACTTTATCAAGTCCTTGTTTTTTTTGCTTGGAATTTTGTTTCCAAATACAGTACGTATCCCCAGAACCTATACCAACCCTGTTATATCAAGTCAGCAGTTTCTGTTTTCAGCTTTTGATTATATAATTCTTTGGTCAGGGACCTGCTTTTGTATTGTGTAATGTGACATGTACAGTGATAGTAGTGCAGGAACTAAATATTCAACAGGACAGCTGCTTTGGTTTTTATACCAACTAAAGGAACAAGGCATTTTATAACTCTACACCAACATTTTCAACTACTTTTTTCTTGAAGGTTCCAAGGAATCCACAGTGATTTAAGCCCAGTCTCCCTTGCATGCTCTCAGCTGCAGAATTACGATCCTGACAGGGCTTTAACAGATTATATTAATCGTTTGGAAGCTCTACAGAGGCGACTTGGCAGTGTACAGTCAGGTAAATAGTTGTATTTGAAAGATGGTTCTGATCTAGAAGTACAGGTTGCATTGACTATTTAAGTTAATTACAGAAAGCCTGTCTTTGTCAAAGCATTTTTTTTCCTCCTGAGAATTTACGCCTTTTCCCCACAGCTTCTGTTCCATTCACTCAACTACACTCTGTTATCAGAAGATAATCCTTGCAACATTTTCATCACTGGTACTGACATTGAATGAAATGCCTTCTGCAAATCTGTGCTGCTGCTGCTGCGTGCTTTCTTTATATAATACATATTTGTTGTGGGACCAACATGAACACAGTTCAACAACTGTTCGCAGTTCACATTGCTGGCACTTCTACAGACTGGAACTAATGTATATAGGCACTTTTTGTGGTCATTTGACATTGATAATTACGTTTCATGTGTATTTGTGGAATGCTAATTTAAATTATTGAAGTGTGTATTTATCAGATGGGTGAGAGGATGAAATCTTTATGTTCTGAGGTTGCTGAATGTGTAGTTCCAAGTGCACACCTTTTCTGACAATGCAAAGTGAAGGACTTTTCATGATTTTACTCTATTTGCTACTGGTACCGCAGAGAGAAATATCACTTGTAGAGACCTATTTTTGTAAAGGTAGAAGTTTTGAATTTTATGGGTATTTTGTCAAAGTACTGAAATAAAGATGATTTCATCCTTTTAATGTGTGTCTGGGAATATTTAAAAGTTCTGTGTTCCAACCTGAAATTCAAAGCTTAAACACATTTGCCTTTAATACCATGTTTCCCACAAAATAAGACAGGGTGGTCTTTTAATTTTTGTTCCAAAAATGCATTAGGGTTTATTTTCCAGGGATTTTTTTCATGTACAACAATCTACATTTATTCAAGTAGTCATGTCTTCTTCTGGTTGCTGCACAGTGGTGGAGGGTGGGGGTTTCACTTAAGTAGGGCTTATTTTGGGGGTAGGGCTTATATTATGAGCATCCTGAAAAATCATACTGTCTTATTTTCAGGGAAACAAGGTAGCTTTTGTACCATTTTATCAGACTCCACTTCAGTGTATTATTTGTAGTTAGAACTAGGCTAGAATATGCTGGAACAAATAAGCTACTCTTTTAAGGACCCAGAAGATTTTTGCTGCTGTGTGTGAGGGAGCTATATGTGAGGAATTTGGGAATGGGGTAGATTATGCTGCTTGTTTTTAGGCTACAAATTTAAGATTAAAAACAGCTACATGTTATATTGTGACTGCGATTAACACTGCCCAAGCTGAGAATAGCTGGATTGGCCTCAACCATAAACTCCAAGGACTTGAGATTTTTGCTGCTGCAAAATGTGTAATTTACATACTTTCGGACTCTCAGCTGAAGCCCCGATTCTGCCTTCTACACCTTCAAGCCCTCCCTGCTGCCAGTCTCTTAAGGATTCCACCAGGAGGCAGGGCTTCAAGGTAAACAGCCAGACCATCATGTAAATATAGCCGAACTAATTATAATTTGTCCATTTTTGAAGCATAAATTTCCATTACCTTCACCATTTAGGGAGGAAAAATGAAACTAGGAGTTCATAGTAGCACATTGATGGACACAGCAGCCTAAGGGGCCCAATATGAGCCCCCTAACCGCCTTGGAATCTTAAAAAATGAGCAAGACTTTTCAGGAAAAAATATATTTTGATACTCATTTATATAATTTACAAAAGATGTGAGCTATTAAGACTGAACAGTAGCATAGAAAATATGGAAACAGTGGGGCTGGTTAGCTGGTCTTAGACACATTGGTTTATAGAGATGTTACACCTTTGCTTTCTCATTTTTGTGCTTTGCTTTATTTCTAATTGCCCCCCTCTACTTATTTGACAGTCCTTCACCAGATATTTTGGGCTTGGGTGAGAACTTCCCAAATGATGACATCAATATTAAATTATTTCAGAGTTGTCTTCAGGTGTCCTTGAATCACATCTTCTGTCCATAATGCAGTCAAGTAACTGCAACAAGCTCTCCACATAAAATATATTTCAGGAGATGATTGTCTGACCTCCTAATAACTTAACCAACACACTGGAATTGTCATTCGAGTTGTAAAAAAATGCCCTAAGACTTTGGTGCTGGTGACTTTATCCAGCCATTTGATACCAAGAATTTTCCAAAGATAGTTAGGAGAAAAACTATTGATCTTTCTTGCATGGTGTCAATAGTCTCCGCTCCATAGTTTGTCAGTATTGCTTTACACAACTGGATTTTGCCCCTTATAAAAATATATCCTTCACCCATGACCAACATGCCTTATTAAGTTTAAAGTTTTATTATACGGTCATAGACCCAATTATACACCTTATTGTATTCCTCTCCTAACACAACCTCGCTGCCAACAGTTTTAAATTCTCCCCAAAGACAAAGCCAATCCATCTGAAGAAGTGTGCTTGGACTTGTGACAGCTTATGAAAAATAAAAAAAAACTAATTAGTCTTAAAGATACTACAAGACCTCCGGTTCACACAATTGCTGACAGTCTGCTAACTGCCTTCTCACTAATTTCAGATTATTTATCTAAGACACTATGAAAATCCTTGGTCCATCTCTGTGAAAACTATGAGTACCAAGCTATGGGGGCTGTGGAGGGGAAACATGCCTGCAGGCTAGGGCCCATACATAGTTTTGACTGTTTCAAAGAATTTGTTTCTTTGCTATCAGCGAAGTTCCAAATCTCCTCCACCTTCCTACTAAGCTGTGAATTCTACATCTCTTGCAATTTAAACTGCAGCTCATAACCAATTTTGTTGAAAGCAGCTTTACTGACAAGTGGTTCGTTGAAATAATATACTTTATAGCATTTATGCTTTTGTTCTGCAATTTCCTCATTTTCATCAAACCAACCAGACAGCCATGTTTCTTAAGTACATTGAGCTTTCATAGCAGTAATATATATATAGTATATATGGTATCATAGGGAGTTTTGCACTGATTGTCAGTGTTCCTGCTTCTGAACAGAATTTTATCTATATATTTGTCTCGAGAATCAAGCTCAACCCCTCATGGTTGAGCTTAGAGACCTTTAGCTTCTTTGGTACTTGTTCTCCTTGTGGACATCATGTCAATTTTATAGTATATGTGTTCATTTTGGAGATGAGCAGCTGATTCAGCATTCCTTTCTGTCTATCTCTATATCTACTAATGCCCTATGATAGGACCCTGAATACAGTACATCCAAATTCCTTTGTTCTGTTTTCAAAGTCAAAATAATGTATTTGTTTCAGTACTGTTTCAATATTAACATAGAACTGGCAGACAAGTTGCAGGCTGACAGGTAGTTTTAATTATCCAGAACTTCAAAATATTACTGGAAAAGCAAATTATTTTCATGCATACTGGCTCAGTTATAAAACACTGAGTTGTCTTACTTAAGATATACAGTAGACGCCCTGGTCTAAATACAGAAGTCTAATTCCACAGAAACTGTTCAGATGCATTCACTACCATGTTGTATCATGTCTCTTACCATTCAGATCCTCATCTTTATGAACACAGTATTTGCAAAACAAAAAACAAAACAAAAACCCCAGATGTATTCAAATACCACATACATACACTTCAATATATTAAGAACCTTAATTTAAATGGGTTAAGCCACCCATACATTTAAACAAATACAACTAACATTCTATATGACCAGTCAACACATAAGTACAGCTACACATATTAACTTTCCACACTGAGTAGGGAAGAATGTGCCAACCTGAGCTTGTTGGGCAACTCCTCTCATCCTTCACCATGGGCTATGCTGGTTAAGGATGGCAGGAATTAATCCAACAGCACACAGAGGACCATACGTTCAATTCCTCTGGTCTACAAGGAAGGTATGAAATGTTTTACTATCACCCTCTATAGAATGATTTTTAAATGTGTCCTCCTAGGTTTACTGCTGTATCTTACTAGAACCGAGATGTGCTGCAAAAAAACATTCTTTATGGTACCTGAAACTGCCTCTGTATTACAAGGTAATATCACATTAAGTATCAGGTGTCTCACAGCCAGAGATTGTGAGATCAGCAATAAATCTATTTACATTAATGACTCTGAGCACTCTGTGACAGGTTTGAAAGGATTGTGATATTCTAAAGCTAACATTCTGTTACAGTAATCAGTGATGCTAGAACTTTCTTCATTTTAACAACACAATTATATTCCTAAAAAATTATTTTTATCAAAACCGAGGTAGGTCACCAATGAACCTACATAAGTTTATTTTGTAAGATTCTGAATTTTAAAAGGCACAAATAATTAAAATACATATTGATGTTACAAAATTAGTGTGTAAGGCAAACATTAAGAAAAGTAAATACAATAATTTTAGTCTTCTAAGAAACAGCACAAAATCTTTACATTTGAAATTTACAATACTATAGCCAAAGAGAACAGCTTCTTCTTAACAATCAGAGATGGGATTTTTGGAATTAATGAACCCCAGTCCCATAATTTGGCAGAATCACCTTGAGAAACTGAATAATGATAGTGGGAGCCCTCAAACTGACATGGTTCCCTCGCTGCTTCTTCAAACTGTTAAGAGAAGCACCGGGTCATTATTCACTCTACCTCTGTAAATCACACAGAATCCTCATAACTCTCACAGCACTTTTTCTCACAGTCTGAAGAAGTGGCATGGGAAGAACATGGAGGTTAAGAGGGCTGGTTTACCTTCTGCTGGCTTGAGGGCTCCCAGTGTCATAATTCAAGTGGAAGGGAAAATCCCACCAAATTATGGGATTAGGAACGAATTCCTACTAATAATTTTCATACGATGTGTGCAGAAACACCTCTCAGCAATTTAGCTTAAAGAGGTTCCACTGCTGTGTGATCTTCTTTTGTACCTGATGATTGGATTATTAGCTGTGTGTATCATAGTTGTATAATTTATGGTAGGAAAATATCCATTGACCAAGTCAAATTCATAAAGACGCAGAAGAGTTGACCAAATGGTCTTAATCTGAACATAAGCAAAGTTCTCTCCAATGCAACGATGACGACCTAGAGAAGAAAGTTAAAACAATCGTTTTAGCTTGCATGTAAAAATACTTAGGGACCAGTCTTCAGCAAGTCAAATTATTCTGGTGTACCTGTTGTTCAGGTAACATTAGTGTCAATTCTTTGTGAGAGTGACACTCCAAATCCTAGCCAGCATTAAAGCAACCAATGAGTTCCTTAAAATTAAACTGCTTATTGGCTGTATTATCAGAAATTAGCTAGAGCTAGACCACATACTTTATTTATTTAACTTATATGCCGCCCACACTACCCAAAGGTCTCTTGGTTATTAATTTCCCTAACTCCACAAACCCATAAAGCTGTATCAAAGTAAGCTACAAAGTAGTCCTTTTATGGTTGCTGTGGGCTTTTTGGGCTCTTTGGCCATGTTCTGAAGGTTGTTCTTCCTAATGTTTCGCCAGGAGTCCTTTTTAATGTAAGCGTTATTTGGGTTTTTTTTAATACTGTACATGTTTCAACTCTCGGTTAGGCCACATTCAGTTTAACCTACTTACCAGCACCAAATGGCACATACGCAAACTTCTCTCCAGCTGCAGGGTTATCTTGTAAGTAACGGTCTGGTTTGAAGTTTAAGTTTTCTATCCAACAGTCTTTAAGTCTATGATTGACAGTAGGAGATACACAAACTTGATGGCCAGGTGGAATTGTATAGCCAGCAACATTCTAAGAGGAAGAAAATTTTCATAGCAGTTTAGACACTCACCTGTTTTTTGTAGTTAAAGCAACCTATAAACGTTTTTCAGATTCAGTTTCATAAAGATTCTGGATAGTAGATCTACTCCTATAAAATATTTCACAAAGCATTGGCCAGTATACTATTTAAAGCATAAAGGCAATGGTTTAAGTGTTTCCCATTCTGGAGGGCTTCCTGTCACACAACCAATCATGTCACTGGTAATGTGACCGATTTTGTAATCACTCCAAGACTAGGTATGTAAAGAGAAGGCCCCATGAAAGCACACAGAACACTTAAACATTCCCAATCTGTGGGAAGGAGTAATCTTGGAATGGGCTAATTCCTTCATCGGGGCAGTCCAGGCAGGAAGAATGAACTTGAAAAGGCTTAACAGTCATGCTTCACAGGTTCCTCCCAGTTTTCTTCTCCTGCTTTTGTCCAGAAGAGGCCTTGCTTCCTGCTCTCTCTCTGGCCTTTGATATCTCACTTCTACTGGCCTTTTATAACATTTCTCTTTTTAGAAAAGAGAGGTCTTCATTCCTTCTATACTTTCCTGCCATGTTGCTTTGAGCCTTTCTTGCTGTTGTTTTTCTTCCTTTGCTTCAATGGGTAAATCTGGCAAAGCCTCTTCAAAAACCCTCATCCATCTTTGTGGCTTTCTCACCCCAGCTCGGTCAAGCATGGGCAACAGGTACCTCGTGGAGCACCACACTCTCCCTGCGGTATTGCTTCCTGAGGCTTTGTGTGGTTGGGATTGCCCTCTGCCATCTCAGCAAGTGTAGACAGAGGAGAAAAACTGACCCCGGTCAATGCAGCACAGACTGGGTTTTAATGCGTTTCTATGGGCTTTAAACGAATTAACGTCATAATGCGAGGCACTACTCTCTTTCTCTCTCTGTGTGTGTGTCTGTCTGTCTGTCTCTCTGTGTGTCTATCATTATCTATCTATCTATCTATCTATCTATCTATCTATCTATCTATCTATCTATCTATCTATCTATCTCAAAATTTCTGACATATTGTCTCCTTCACTTTCAGTTGGGGGGTTGTTTTCCCCATTTTCTCTCTGGGGAGCGATGACTTCTGATCAGTGAGTGCTACAAACCATCAGGGAAGGATATCTTACAGAATTTCATTAGCCTCCCAGAAACAGTTTCCTCTCCTCTCCAATCTTGAGAAACAAGAATGAAGTTCACAGATGTTTCACAAGAGATTCGTTATCTCCTCAAGACTGGAGCAGTAGAGCCTGTTCTACTGCATTGTCTTTATAGTCCCAAGGTGAGACAGCTTATATAGGGCTGTGTTAGACCTCAAATTCCTAAACAGATTTGTGGCACCCACAAAAATCAAATGGGAAGCTTAAAATCTATTTTAGATGCTCTTCATCCTGGGGACTACATGGCCTCTATAGATATATACACCAATCAGACTGTCCTGCAGTGTGCCTTTGGGTGACCCTCATTTTCAATTCAAAGCACTATGGGTATTCATCAAGCTTCTGGTACAACTGGTAGCCTTCCTTCACATGCAAGGGGTGCAAATGTATCCTTATATGGATGACATCCTGTTTTCTCCCACCTTCCCTGAAGCTCTGGAGGGCTTCAAACCATCACGCCATCCCTCTCAGGTCACGGATTCGTAATCAATCTATCCAAGAGTCATCTGTATTTTGTGTCGCCAAGTCAGAACTAACTTACTGCAAACCTAAAAAGACTTCCAAGTTCAGTGAGATATTTAAAGAGCGATTTTACCAGTTCCACTCCCGTAGTCAGTTTCTGTGGCTGAGTGGGGATTCAAACCCTGATCTCCAGAACTCTAGACATCACTCTATCCATCACACTAAACTGGGAATTCTGGTTTCATACAAATGGTTAGTCCATCTTGGGGCTAACCTAGATACTCAATTGGCAATGGTCCTTCCAGCCCCAGAGAGGGTGTTGAAAATCAGAAAGGTGGTAAGTCCTTGCATGCAAGCCATCCTTATCCATTGGATATATCCAGGAAAAGTTCTCTTGTCCTCTTCCTGCTTTCCCCACTCTGAGCCTCCCTGCTCAGGTGGACAAAAACTGCCAATCTATGTGAGCCTCAAAGAATAGTATTAACTATAAATGTCAACCTTTCAGGTTGGGAAGCCCACTGTCTCAGCTCCTGGACCTGGACCCAATCTGAGAATATCTACTCAGTAAAATGGCCCAACCTTTCAGGTTGGGGAGCCCACTGTCTCAGCTCCATAGCCCAAGGGACATGGACCGAATCTGAGAATATCTACTCAGTAAAATGGCTGGAGCTCCATGCAGTTTGACTAATTCTGGTTTATTTCCAACATCTGCTTCAATAGCAACATATCCTGATCTGAAGAGACAGTATTCTGGCCAAGACATTCTTAAACAAGCAAGGAGGGTCAGGAAATCTACTTTCACAATGAGGTAATAGTTTTCTTCCACTGGGCAGAAGTTAATCTGCTCTCCCCATCTGGCTAGCACATTTAGGGGACCACAGCAAACTATTTGAGCTCTCTGGTGTTCAATCAGATCCTGGACAGATCTGGGGTGTGTTTCAGAGACCTATTTGCCACACCAAAAAAATGTCAAACTTCAGAGGTTCTAGTTTTTACACATCAATGGCAGAAGCCCAGGACACTCTCAACACTGCTTGACCTATATAGGTCGACATTATGCCTTTCCACCAACAACTGTTAACAAAAGTGCTTCGGAAGATCAGACTGGAACAGGCCACAGTAGTTTTGGTGGCACCCATCTGGCCTTGCTGCCCCTGGTTCTCTCAGCCTTTCCAGCTCTGGTTTCTCCCAGCCTCCCTCAATCGGCTCAACCTGGCATCTCCTCTTCACCCAAATGCAGACTAGCTGCATGGAAATTGAAAGGACACAGTTTGAGAACCTGGGGTACTGTGAAAAATTAACATGTGGATATATGAAGCTACTATTTGGAAGACATTTTCCACTGGTGTGTTCCCATTGTATAGCAGGTATCACAGAATTAGATTCCTCTAGGATAGCCTGGATTTGGGTCATCTCTGTCCTAATATGTTGTATAAATAAACATTTACAGTGGTGCCTCGCATAACGAGTGCACCGTTTAACGACGAATCTGCATAGCGATGTTTTAAATAGGCAAAACATGGCATTGCAATGATCGGTAAGCATTTCGCTTACTGATCTTCGCGTTGCAATGTTTTAAAACAGCTAATCGGCGGTTCCAAAATGGCCACCGGATCAACAAAATGGCCACCCGCAGCGTTTTCGTGCCGATTCCTCGCTTACCGAGGTGGCGAAAATAGCGGCCCTATGGAGGATTACCGCTTAGCGGTGAGTTTATCCCCCATAGGAACGCATTAAACGGGGTTTTCCGTTCCGTTTACCGACGTTTCCGGATAGCGATGTTTTTCCTGGAACGGATTAACGTTGCTATGTGGGGCACCACTGTATCTCTCTCTGTTCTTCTGACAAGAGAAGGTAGGAAATCAATAACTGCTCAACCACACCTGAAGAAGTTTCTCTAAGCAGCATGCATAATTCAACAACCTGTTATACAGAGATTTCCTTCATGGAGATTCCAAGTGGTTCTCAAGGCCCTCACAAGCCCACCATTTGAAGCCTTAAATTCTCTTTCTCTTCAACTGCTTTCCCTCAAGGTGGCTTTCCTTGTTTCTTTACTTCCGCTTGTAGAATTTCTGGATTCTTTTTTCTATTGATACACTTAATGCTTCTTTCCTCCTAATACTGCAACACAGCCTTTCATAGATCTTGGGAGATTGTACTACTTCTTTTTGTCCCAAACCAAGTCACCCCTTGGAAAAGGAGTGGCACAGCTTTGGCATTAGAAGGACAGTCAGGATTTGTATCAAAGGAACCACATCCTTCAGGAAATGTAGCTCTCATTTTGTCTCCTTTCTTCCCACTTCTTTGGGAAAAAAGATATCCTCTGTTTTGCCCAGGGGATTAAGTCTTGCATATTTCTAGCGTATAAAGACTCTCAAAATCTCTCTCCTTCAGACTTCAAGCAGATTAAGGCTTGCATATTTATAGCACATGAGGTATCTCCCACACCCTTAAGCCTGTCCATATTAATGCCCAATTCCATAAGGCCAGCAGCTACTTCTTCAGCCTTCTTGGGAGATGCTTCACTAAAAGAGATCTGCAGAGTGGCCAGACAACAGCACTCCCATTCTGTAATATTTGAGCAGAATGGATTTTCCGTTACTGTTGTATCCATGTTTTACCCCCAATTTATTACCAAGAAATATAACTGAGAAACAGGATATAGTGTGCAATTTCATACATCTGCTTGATGGTTACACTTCTGACACTGCCTCACCATGTGTTACTCCAGAAGTAATACCCCCTGAATATAAACAAATTTCTTACTTGAGGGGTCTTAACTATTCTCATCATGGTCATTATAGGAGGTCGAAGTCTTAATGTTTCTTTCAAGCAACGCTCCAGTAAAACCATGTCCTTGAGCTTAACAAAAAAAAGTAAAACAAATATTGTTATTTTCCTATTTATTAACATTTTCTAAAACACAATTTATATGGTGTGGTGGTAGATCTCATTACAACCCCCTGGAAGTGTAATAGACATATTTTCTGCTAAAAGCATGAAGTATCAGATTACCTACCTGTGTATTTAAAACCCATTTAGAATATATTTTATCTGCAAACTGCAGACTGACACCTAAACTACCACAGGCATTGAAACATATTTCTATATATGCTTTTGCTGTAAAGCAGCACGTTACCAACTTGCTCATTGACCAAATAGAGACATGTAATGTTCATAGAGCACCTCTTTTTCCTTCAGCTGTTAGGTTGATCTTAATCCTAACAAGCTACATCAATTCCAAAATGAAAGTCCCCCTGATATTTTGGATTGGAAGTTTCACTGTGCTCAACAGCACTTACAGGTAGAATTTATGCATATATGTTACACACAACACATGCTTATTTAATAATAATCTCTTATCAGCAAAATTCACAAAAGCAGTGATCAAGGAAGAACTCCATCTTCACTTATTTCATTTGACAAAATTTCATTTCAAGAGAAGGGAACTGCATGCATTCTATAGTTACTCAAGAGTGCAAATCTTCACTTATTTCATTTCAAGAGAAGGGAACTGCATGCATTCTATAACTCAAGAGTGCCTCAAGAAAGCATGCAATGCCAGAGTTTATTCCATCTTAATGTATTTTGTTGTTAGTATTTGTTCCTGGAAAGCGATCTGACACAGAGTTCTGAACTTTGTACAGTGGGGTCTTGACTTGAGAACTTAATCCGTATTGGAAGGCGGTTCTCAAGTCAAAAAGTCTGTAGGTCAAGTCTCCATTGACCTACAGTGCATTGAAAACCGATTAATCCCTTAACAGGCCGTTTTTGTTCCATTTTGGTTTTTTCTGGTCTGTAAGTCAATTCTCAGGCTGCAAGTCAAACCTAAATTTTGTGGCCAGAGACATCTGTAACTCAAAAAGTCTGTACGTCAAGCCGTCTGTAAGTCAAGGGTCCACTGTAATACTTTAAAATGTCTAACTTGCCCAAATTAGTTCTCATTCAAGACAAGTCTTTTCTTCAATAAGAACACTTCACCAGAAATTAAAAACTAACACCTCAAAGTTTTCTGAAACTATTTACTCGGTGGGCCAGATAAGCAGGGTATAAATCAAATAAATAAATAAATACTCTCGACTAATTCCACATTTAAAGGATTTACATTAGCACACTGATATATTTAAAAGAAACTGCAAGGTTTACAAACCTGATCATAGTTTAATGGAGGGAGATCTTCTCCACAAACTGCTTTTTGTTCCCTGTAACACTGATCCTGGAGTGATTTGTCTCTAGCCAAAAAGAAACCAAGCCAAGTGCTAGTAGTTGAAGATGTATGTTGACCTGCTAGCAGCAATCCAATGAGCAGCCCAGCTATCTCGTCATCTGTTAGAGGGCGCCCATCTCTAAATTCAGAAAGAAAATACTTAACTCACACATGCATTTTAAACAAGCTAAGCAATCTCACATGCCATCAGAAGATCCAATCACACATTTGAGTGCAGTTCTCTTTTGGAAACAAGTCCAAATTGATGGACTTTTACTAGCATACCAATACAATCCTGAAAGCAGCTGCAGAACTGGTGAGCGAATATGTTACAAATATTAATATAGTTCAACTGCAACTGCAGTGAGATTACCACATTTTTTTTAAAATCTAAAGCAACCAAAATTAATGAACCAAACATAAAATTCTAAAATATGTTGAAAATACCCAACCTATACTTTCAGAAGCTAAACAGGGTATCTAGCTAGTACTTGGATAGGAGGCTACTAAGGATCCACTAGGGAAGGCCAAGAAAAAAATCCTGTCTGGAACCCTAGAGTGTTGCAATGAGTTGGGAGTTGACACTATTAGCCTAAATGGACCAATGAACTGACTCAGTAAAAGGCAGCTTCCTATGTTCTTCAAAATAAATAGCAGTGAAACACAGAAGATGCACCAGATATGGCCAACCTGAAAGGATCATGGTATTAGCTGCCTAAGAACACTCAACTCAATAATTCAAATACCTGCCAGACCAGAAAAGTCTAGGCCAGATGGGGAGAAAAGCAAAAGTTAAGGTGAACAAACTGAGATTCCTGACAGAATCTGAGAGCACAGTATAGAATTTCATGTGTCAAGGAGGCAACTGCTTTATTTCAACAGAATATAGATAAAATTTAATTATTCAGAGATTGTTTTATCTAATTTTAAATCTAAATGCATATTACCTATACGTAGATCCAACCCTACATCATGTATTTCAGCCAGGATCAAAATTTCACACTTTGACCTTTAAAGCTGTAACTACAGCTTCTACTTGGTATGGAATCAAATTTTTAATGACCATTAGTATATCTCACAATGTAATATCTTGGAAACTCAGGGCCCAAAAAGCTTTTCTTGTACTAAGGCAGTAAACTTCTCATTGAATATTCATAGATGCAGACAGCTTTCTGCCTCAATTCTTTCTTTCTTCCTTGCACCTGAAATTTTGTTCCTGTACCATATTCTAAATTTAGGTTCAGAATCCGGCTCTTCACATTTAAATAATCCAATCTTGTTTTTAGAAAAGGTTTTGCCTGCAGCTCTGCACTGACCCTTACCAGAGATATTTTAACTACTTCACATACTTGTAGGTAATATCCAGTAGTGTTTGAAGCATGTCATCATCTTTCTCCAAAGATTGTCGTCGTTTCTGAATTATTTCATGGAAAATAGCCTTTATTTTTTTGTGTGCTCTGTCTCTACGTCTGAAATTAAAAGCATTTTTATAAGTAACAATATAGAGTAACTGTAAATATCTGGAGGACTCTGGTGTTGCAAATAACATTTCTGAACTTTCCCCCATAAACACTTAAACACGGCTCAACAGTGCTGAGAAAAAAAGCTGTATCAATATACAGCACATGAAAATCAAGTCATGGAAGTGCAATGCCAGATTAGATTAGCATTGGGTCTAATTTCCGCACAGCCATGCAGACATGGGCAAGTTGCTATTTGTTAGATAAACTCACAACAGTGTTGCTGAGAAGCTAAAACAGGCTGGAACATTTGGCCCTCCTGATATTTTGATCTCCATCAGTCCAAGTTATGTACCCAATGATGAGAAATTACGGGAATTCTCTCCCCACTGCCCACAACAGAGACTGTTCCATGTCACTCCAGGTATTAGACACTTAAAATGGTTGTCTTGGCCTACTAGACTGTTAATGTGACTTAGGACGCATCCCAAGAAAATATACACAATTGTCAGTCTGAGTAAGCAGACAGGACTGGGCCAGCAAGGGCTAACTTTCATAGGACTTTTGCATGTATCTAAGGCAGTGAAATTCCTACCTTAGATACATGCATTCAACTAGAACATCTTCCAACACCAAGTTAATTACCAAGTAATTTGCATTAGTAACACATGTTCTTATAACATTAAATACCTAGCATGCAAACATACTGATCAAAATCCTCTTCCACAAATGAAGTTGGCATAAGGTTAGCTCTACACCTACACATGGCATCTATCAACTCTTTAATTAGTCCATCAGTGTTTAAACATAATCTAATTGTGTACAAGCTGGATGGCTTTGCACCCAGCTCCGAATTGAAATGGGACGCTAATTTGTGCAATCTTATTCACAAACAAATCTTTTTTTAAAAGCCCTGTTTTGCATTTTTACATAAAAGAGTGTCCTTGCATCAACTGCAAGTCACACATGTAGCCATTTTATATGTAAGCAATGAGATTATGTTTAAACAATGAGAAACTGAACCAAGGATTAAACCTACACCATTTCCCTTTTGCCAGCAAAACCCATGGAAGATTTTGACCACAGTAGTATAATACCACAAAAATTAATAATAATTGTGTGCTGTCAAGTCAGTCCTGTCTTACGGCAACCCTTTTCAGGGTTATCTAGGTAGAGAGTACTCAGAGTGGTTTATCATTCCTTTCTTCTGAGGACATCCTGGGACTACGTAGCTTGCCCAAGGCCACACAGACTGGCTCTTCTAGGATGTACAGTGGGGACCTGAACTCCTAACCTCTTACTCCACAACCAGATACCTAACTCACCGAAGCTATTCACAAACTGGAATACAATTTGATAATAAAGGTAAATCTTTATGTCAGCACAAGACATAATGTCTTCTTCTGCAGTGTCAGTTATCTTTTGCAACTTGTTAAGAAGCTGGGAGCACGCTGAAAAATCCTATGCTCTCTCCTTAACTCACACTCCTCTCTTGTATATCAACCCCCAAAACACTGAAGGGATAGAAATAAGCAGGGAAACAAATGATAATTACTGCTAATCTGGTTCTCTTAATATGAAGAAAGTAGAACGTACTACAAATAAAGTCACACTGTAATAAATTCTCTCTTATCATGCATTACTAAGAAGGGTTTTTATATTCTCCTTGAGTATCCTTCTCCACTGTTCAACTACGTCCTGTTGGCCATGATACAACTAAAGTCCTATAAGTTTCAAACTGTAATTAAGAGACACTGGTTAGTGTTAGCCCAGTTAATTCCGATTGGAAGTGTCTATGCACAAGAAAAAATGAGGAGTATTTGACCCTTCAGTCCACTTTAAACAATGGTTTCATGATTGGAAACCTTTTTAAGATAGAGGTTCATTAAGATTCAGTGTAGCATAGCTCATAGCACATTAGATTTCAGCTGAGGAAACCAGATTCAAACTGCTATCATATGAAGCACTGTGGCAGTCAGTATTTCTCAAGCTAACTGACCTCACTGAGTTGCTAGGAGGACAAACAAAGAAGAGATTATACATGACTCCTGATTTCCTAGCACAGAGGGCATTATAAAAAGCATGCAGTATGATTGTATTCACATTCACTGCTGAGCAAGCTGTTTAGTACCTGAAACTGGGCAAAGGCAGCCAACCTGGCAGAAGCCAAGCGGCATGAGTAAATCCCCCATCCAGATCAGCATAGAGTTGTGCCACCTTCTCATCAAGAATACTCCTTATCTCCTTCCCATGTAAACAGTGACTTGCTGTCAAAATTATTAGTTCTGAAAGTGCTTCAAACAAATCTGTGGGATAGAAAGGGGCAATCAACTAAATAAAACAGTAATTTATAGTCATTTTGTTTAATGAATTGAAAATTAAACAAATTTCATGAGCACAAAAAGACAGATTGAGAATCCGGCAAGGATGTATTGACGGGGGCGCATGTCTTTGAATAACAGAAAAGAGAGCTATTGCTTCATGGAAGAGGTGCCATATTTTCCCCTTACTGTCAAAACCATACACAAAAAGGGACATTACCAGCACACGCAAGTAATGAGTAGAAGCAAGGAAAAGGGAAAAGTCACAAATCTCCTTGATACAAACAGCTAAAGAGAAGTAAAGGTAAAGGTTCCCCTTGACAAATGTCCAGTCGTGTCCGACTCTAGGGGGCGGTGCTCATCCCCGTTTCCAAGCCGTAGAGCTGGCGTTTGTCCGTAGTAGGCAGAAGCAAATTGTTGGAAAAGGGAAAGTAGCGACTTTTAGCACAGGTAGACCTAGGTCATTAGGAAGAGCAGTCTCCTGGGCAAGGAGGGGAAGGGGTTGGACTGTATTTTCAGACTCATTAGTCCTATGACCTTGCATCTCCCAGGCAGTAAGCTGAAAAGAACCCACTCATCCAGATGTATCTGCAATAGCACCAAGAAAGGAAGCAGTGGAATACTGAAACCTCTTTGTGACCTAACAGGCATTTTCTCTTATGCTACAATAAAACCAGATCACTACACATATTAGTATGACTCTTTACCCCTGCCAATGTAAGAACCTGGACTTTTATTTGTTATTCCTGCATCTTGACTGCTCTGACTCTTGCTCCTGAAAGATCATATTCAAATGTAAGCATACCTTTTCAGATTGCATACTTACTTCTTTCTCCACTCTCTCCCCATGTTTTAAAGTATTCCAGAGTTTCCTTTTCTATTACCGGTACATGTTTTCTAAATTGATTTATATTCAGCCCAGTTTTCAGCATCTTCTTCTGTTCTAAAAACAACTTCCAAAGAAAAGCAGTAGTTATAAATGCCAATCCTGCGCGTATACATTTTAAGCATAACAAGATGAAATCAAACTCTTACACTCCACAAATTTTAGAAAATTCAAATTGGGTACACGTATTTTGCTTTATTTCCCCCCTTTGCACCAGAATCAACAGGGTGAACAGTGCTTAGATTTGAAACACAGATGTTTAAAAGATAAAACAGAAAATATGTCAAAGAAATATTACCATTTACACCTATCAGCCCCACTCCAGGAGGGCTTTTTTCCTTGCCAAGGTTGTCTAAAGGCCATGAAGGCTGTGCTTTGGAAGCAACCAGATGCATCCACACTGATTGCTCTTGATGAGTAAGGAACCAGAAGATAGCAAGATTTTATCCCCATTGATAAAACAATATTTAAAGTTGCAATTTGAGTCTTTACTATTTTTATTCCCTTTGTTCATCTGAGTTTGCAAACTACTAAATACTTTGGCAGCAGTGAAAGGACGCACGAGCACACAATGTTACAGCACCTTTGTGTTGCCAAAAATACAGTATTTCCAGTCTAGTATACACAAGAGGCCTTTATTATAAATAACTGGCATGTTTGTCCAACAACATCAGAAAACTTGTCTGATTAATTTCAAATTAAATTAGAAAGGAGATGGAAACAGCTTGAAGGCCCACACCGTAATTAAAAGTTATGGCCGTCTCATACATTTCTTAGTGTGGTTTGCTGACTAAGCTCTGTGCAAGTCAGGATATGCCTACCTTCTCTTTCTCAATCCATTCTGTCCTGATTAAAATCTTGCACACTTGACTAATCTCTTCTTATAATTCCAATTCGAAGAGGAAGAGGAAGAGGAAGAGGAAGAAATGATTAAAATCTTGCACACTTGACGAATCTCTTCTTATAATTTCAATTCGAAGAAGATGAAGAAGAAAGAAGAAGAAAGAAGAAGAAAGAAGAAAGAAGAAGAAAAGAAGAAAGAAGAAGAAGAAACCAGAGGGGTCAAGGGAGTCCACCTGCCAACTGCTGTGAGATAACAGAGGGTGCTTTGCTTCCCATTACTTTGGGCCAATAAAGGCAGGATGAAGGAGACTTCTCAATAGGTTTTCCTGCCATTTAATTCTTTTTAATTTTTGTATACATTGTTTTTAGCTTTTAAATATTGTTTTTTAGTGAAGCAAGACACCTTAAGTCCTTTTAAGGAGAAAGGTGGGTCCAAAAAAATTCATATAAATAAATAAATAGCTCCTTACTTGGGCAATATTTTTTTCCAATATTTCACTGATTGCACTATCTGCACTTTGGCAAACTCCATTAAAATGGATTGCTCAGTTCTATTTTCTGATGTTTTCCATGTTTTAGAAAGATAATCTGACCACCAAGGCCTTGTTTTAGCCTTTTTCTGGTTTAAACCTTGCTGTTCTGGACCTCCAGAGCCTCCCTTCCAAACAGATTGCAAGTTTTCACCGGCATCTCTGTGCGATGTGTGCACATACACACAAATTAAAAAGAGTTGGCAGAGATAAAGTTTTGCAGGGATTTCGTTGAAACCCAATCATTTGTTAATAACAGCCAACATCACAAAAACTCCAACATCAATGGTATAACATGATTTCAGAGATCTCTTACCACTATGACTACAACTGGATTCAACCTGTGGATGCATCTAACTGGTCACAATTTAATGCATAGGTATTCACACTTACACACACTTTAATGAGTGGTAGAAGTTCTTGCTCAACTTTTACAAACTTACTGGGTTGGGTACATCATAAGCCACTCCTTTGCCAAAGACAGGTGTTGTTAACCGTGAATATGCATCTTCTGCGTTTAAGTCTTCATTTTTACTATTGAACAGAAGTGCAGCAGCATCGCTACCCAGCAAGTACGTAAATGTCTTCCCCACCATCGTGAAGCTAAATACAGGCCCATACTGTATTTAGGAATATCCAAGTAATTTGGGAATAGATAAAAAAGAAAAAAACACAACATGTGAAAGAACTGCAGTTCGATATCTGATAGCAAACATTACAGTGAGAACTCAGAAACCCATATAAATTTTGTTGCTTTAAAATATCCACAACAAAGCTATAGAATTGCAGCACAAGAAAAAATATTTAGGTACAACACCATAAGGCTTAATAAGCCACTGCCTGATTAATCCGTTATTGTTAACAGAAGACAGCAAAGAGCCTTGTGGCATGCTAAAGACTTGGTGCAGAATCCTTTTAATTTCTCCCATTCATGCAATGGTCTGGTTTGTAAATGTAGGCCTTTTCTGAGTTTAAGCAAGAAAGCATTCAATAACACACCCTTGTGCAAGCTTGGAAACCATCTAACTTCCCAAAGGATTCTTCCCATAAGGTTTTATTTTGCATCGGCTTTCTCAGGCTGCAGCTCAAGGCAACAAAGAAACTGCAGTCCATGAAACTTATGCCAAATGAAAGGTGTTGGCCTTTCAGCTATCAGTACTCTTTGTCATTTGTACTGTAACAAAGCAAGGCAACACATTTGTTGCTTCTGTTCCAAATGAGAAATCATTTACAGTACATGCACTTCCTTGCAGCAGAGTGAGAAAATGCCAGCAAGGAAGAAGTGAAGGTAGGTAAAGTGGCATCTTTGGGGTTTTTTGCTCCTCCCTGTCTTTCTTAAGTAGCTTTTCATTTCAAGCAAGCAGCATCAGGACTCTAGCATTTGCTAGCTTCATAAAACGGCAATCTCATAACTGCTGCCAATTATCCAAAATAAATATGCAGCTCCAAAGTTCTGAATAGCCATATTACAACAGGACTATCATATCTGCAGTGCAAAAGGGTTAGACTCACCTTTTCATAGGCACTTTCCAAAAATCCGATAGGATTTTTCCCGAATGCAACCGCATGCCCCAAAAATGGAATATTCGATGAAATATAAGGTGGATACTTCTACAAAAAGAAATAAAGCAAGGGCTATCTTTATTGTTTTACCAGTGAATCCCCCACATTAAACTGGGTTGCACCATGCTTATATCAGGGAATAATATAATGTAAAAAAGATGCACATACTGTTGTGAAAAACATAAGGGCCCTTCCAGTAATCTGGCAATCATTTACCTCATTCCCTCCCATCAGTTCCACTGTCACCAAATTGAAACAGCAAGACCTTGTCTTCTCCTCAATGGTGCCTTGCAGTGCTCATGCAAGTGTATCAATTATGACCTCAAAGAAAGGTGAACAAATTGTGTCCAGGCCCACCTTTGTTTCTTGACAACCCTGTTTTGGGTAGCAAGTCCTATTCTGTTACTACTGTCCATCTGAGTTTGACATCTGAAAAAGTAACACCATCCGCAATATTTATCTATTTATACAAGCTGTAGGGTGCCCAGTGTAGTATAATAGAATAGAATTTAGAACAGAAATTATTTATTATGGTTGGGTGACCAGCTCATAAAACATATTTATGGCTAAAATACAGTGGTGCCCCGCATAGCGACGTTAATCCATCCCCAAAAAACGTTGCTATCTGGATTCCTCGCTATGCGGGGCAAAAAACCCCATAGGGGTTTAATGCATTCCTATGGGGGGAAAACTCACCGCTATGCAGAAATCCTCCATCTGGCTGCCATTTTCTATTTCATCTACTCTCAACGGCCAACCCCCTCTCCACTCCAAACTGAATTCACAAATCCTCCTACCCCTCTTGCAGAGACTCATATCTGGTTACTCTGCCTCTCCAGCACTTTCATTGGTACATGCAGATAGCTCATTAATATTCATGACCTGGGTAGACACTACAGGTTTATTTTCAGGGGATGTTTTATTTTTTTTCATGTATAACAATCTACATGTATTCAAATACAGTCATGTCATCTTCTGGTTGCTGCACAATGCTGTGGAGTGCGGGGCTTCACTTAACTGGGGCTTATTTTTGGGATAGGGCTTATATTACGAGCATCCTGAAAAATCATACATGCTTATTTTCAGGTTAGGTCTTGTTTTGGGGAAAACCGGGTAGGGGTTTAACATACACAAGTTGGAAACAACTGGCAAAGACCCTAAATAGGACTTTCAAGGTAAGTTAGATATTTAAGTAGTGATTCTACCAGAGACCATCTGCCGGCCACAGCCCACTGGGTGAGAGGCAGTGGAACTGTGGTTGGGCCCTTGTTGGATGCCAGCTCTTTCTCAAGGGAGCTGGCTCAGCCTTCCCGTGCCTGCAGGATCAGGTCCTGCTGCTCCCGGCTGCCTCATACCTTACCAACACCGGCCACCTGGCCCAGGGGGAGAGAAAGCTTTTAGCCGGAGCTTCCCTTGGGACCTGACCAGACGAGCGTGCCTGCTTACAGAGGGAACCAGAGACCATCTGCCGGCCACAGCCCGCTGGGTGAGAGGCAGTGGAACTGTGGTTGGGCCCTTGTTGGATGCCAGCTCTTTCTCAAGGGAGCTGGCTCAGCCTTCCCCTGTGCCTGCAGGATCAGGCCCTGCTGCTCCCGGCTGCCTCATCCCCCTCTCAACATGAGCTACATGGCTGGGAGGGAGAGAAGGGGTTTTAGAAAAGTTTTATTTTATATATGTTTTAAATGTTTTTAAATTGTTATTAATTGCCATCAATTAAGAAGAGACCCACAGCGGATCTAATGTAACAGGAAGGGGGGGAGGGCGTTGGAGGGGGCAGCCATTGAAGTGGTGCTGGGTAGGGGAAGGAATGGCG